AAACACTGAATGTGTCCAAGGTGACGATAGTGAGCACAATATTATTGTTGGTAAGTAGGAACCTGGTTGTTAGTTGATTGGCGGATCACTTTACTAGGGGTAATAATCTCTTCAAAAAATATTAATAATAATTTGGTGACTCAAGCTACGACTCTTTGTGGGACAACGCTGTGCGCAATTTGCTGCTGCCTTTCGCCCACAAAAACATACAATCAACTGACTTTACAGTATATTCTATTAAGAGCTTTGAGACGTCTCAACAAGGTGATAAGGCGCTATATAAATTCAAGGATTATTATTATTGTTGTGCCAGACAGTCTTTTCTTTCAGGCACTGAAGTGTCTCCCCCTGTTGGTTCTATTTGAACAATGCTAAAATCAGGATCAAAAACATTTTATATTTAGTATATTTATTATTAAATATAATATATATATTATATTTATATTTAATAGGGCACTATATCAAATGCGAGCATTATTATTATGAATAATTCGTGCCCTCGCATCCCTAGATCTCCGACCTGCTTTCGCCCCACTCCACCCCCACACCTATTGCTTAGCTGGCTCTGCCCTTCTGCATGTCCCTTGTCCCCTCCACTCCACCATTGACAGCTGTGCTTTCAGTCATTACTCCCTGAGACTTTGGAGCTCTCTGCCTTACCCCCTCTTTGCTTGTCTTCAGATTGCATCTTGACCTTGCCTTTGGTCACCTTCTCTCTCTGTCTACTTCTGGGTCAAGTTCCACCACTGTTCAGCACTCCGAAATGATGTCCTTGGGAAGGGTGCTACATAAATGCAAGTTGTTGTTATTGGAGGTTAAAGACCTCTTTGGTGCTATTTGAAAAGAGAAGGGATTTTCTTTTGGTATCATGGCCAAAAATCCCCTAGATAACAAACCGGTCATTCATCTACTAGCTACCTGCTGTGTGCAAATTGGGGCCGATGTATTTATTTGCAAAAATTTTTTTAAAACAGTTTACAGCAAAGCACGTGCAGCAGATTCTCATCCTCAAATACAAGGCCATTCACGGCCTCGCTCCCTCCTACCTCTCTGACCTACTATCCCCCTACTTACCTGCCCGCACCCTCCGTTCCTCTGGCTCCGGTCTGCTCCACATCCCCCGCCCCAACCGCCCTACCATCGGTGGCCGGGCCTTCAGCCTCTCAGCCCCGAGGCTCTGGAACTCTATCCCCCAGTGCCTTCGCCGCCTCCTCCCTTTCCTCCTTCAAGGCCGGTCTCAAGACCTTTCTCTTTGACCGTGCCTTCAGCTCCCCTCTCGACTCTCTACCCCTTCCTCGCTCCCTCCCTTCCCTCCCCTCACCCTGACCATTTCCCCCCTGCTCGGGTTCTGACCCAACTGTCCAGCGCCTTGGGACGTCCTCCCGACGTGAAAGGCGCTCTATAAATGCAATCTTGTTGTTGTTGTTGAGCTTCATACCAAATTGCAAGAGATATTAACTGTTGAGTTATAGTATTGGAGTTGTCATATCAAAATGCAAAGATTATTATTGGCCCAACCTTTTTGTTGGGGTGCATCAACAAACAAAGTGGAGTCCTGTAGCATAGTGGTTAGAGCACTCGCCTCGCAAGTGAGAATACCTGGGTTCAATTCCTGGGCTGGGTGAAACCTTAGGATAATTTTCTTACTCCACATGCCTCTGTTTACCTAGCAGTAAGTAGAAACCTGGTTGTTAGTCGATTGGTGGATCACTTTCCTGGAGAAATAATCCCTTTTAAAAAATAATTTGTGCACTCAATCCATGACTGTTTGTGGGACACTGCTGTGCACAATTGGCTGCCGCATTTCACCCACAAAATAGAGTAACTACACTTCATAGTATATTCTGTGTAGCGCTTTGAGATGTTTCAATGACACGATAAGGCGTTACATCAAATGCAAGAATTACTATTATTATTAACTATTGAATTATTGCGATTTATTGGAGCGGTGATATCAAAATGTAAAGATTATTATTAGCCAAAACTTTTTGTTGGAGTCCAACAACAAAACAGTGTGTGGGGGACGAGAGAAGTTCAGATTTGCTGTGGAATCCTGTAGCATTATGGTTAGAGCACTCGCCGCACAGGTGAGAGGATCTGGGTTTGATTCCTGGGCAGGTTGAAACCTTCGGCAAGTTTCGTTACACCACACGCCTCCGAAACATCGCCCGACTCCGCCACTACCTCACCCCTCAGGCGCTGAAACTCTTGTTCATGCCTTCATCACCTCCAGACTCGACTATGCAAATGCTCTGCTTGTCGGCTTTCCCAACTCCTCCCTCCACAGGCTGCAGATAATCCAGAACTCTGCAGCCCGTGTCCTCTCCCGCACCAAACTCCGTGACCCCATTACCCCCACTCTCGCCCGACTCCATTGGCTCCCTATTCTTCAGAGGATCCAGTTCAAGAACCTGGTCCTCATCTACAAAGCCCTCCATGGCCTCCCCCCACCCTACCTCTGCGACCTCCTAAACCCCTATCAACCCGCCCGCTCCCTCCGCTCAGCTGGCTCCGGCCTAATCCACGCCCCCGACCCCCCCGCCCCACCATCGGTAGGAGAGCCCCTTCAGCTACTCTGCCCCCAACCTCTGGAATTCCATCCCCCAGTCACTCCACCTCAAGACCCTGCTCTTCGGCCATCAGTCACCCCCCTTCCCCTCCCGTCCCTTCCCCCCACCCTGACCCCAGCTCGGGTCTGAAATGCTGTACACTGTCCAGTGCCTTGGGACGTCCTCCCGACATGAAAGGCGCTATACAAATGTAATCTTGTTGTTGTTGTTGTTGTTGTTCCCAGCAGTTAAGTAGGAATCAGATGTTAGGCGATTGGCAGATCGCATTTCCGGGGGGGGGGGGGGGGGGGGGGGGGGGGGGGGGGGGGGGGGGGGGGGGGGGAGGGGGGGAGGAGGGGTGGGGGGAGGGGGGGGGGGGGGGAGGAGGGGTGGGGGGAGGGGGGGGGGAGTGATCACTTCAAAAATAAATAAATAACACGAACAGTCCATTCACTTCACAGTATAACCGGTGAAGCCTTTGAGACGTCTCAGAGACGTGATGAGAGTCGCTCTTCGCGAGGATTGTTATTCGGTGCAGTCTGGCGGATGGCCCGCGGGGGGCGCTGGGGCGCTGCTCCCGCTCGGGGGCGGATGGCCCGCGGGGGGCGCTGGGGCGCTGCTCCCGCTCGGGGGCTACGCACAAAACGGCACGTAGGTCACCCCCCCCCCACTGCAACAACAACAACAACAACAACGCGGGCTCCCTCCCTCCCACCGACAGCACAATAACTTTGTTTGGGTGGTGGGAGGGAGGCAAATGCAACGCTCTCAGTGAACCGAGGAGGTGCTCGTCAGGGCAGGAGGGCACCAGGCGGCCCTTTTTGCCGGGTCCGGTCCGGTCCGGTCTGGTCCGGGGTGCGGTGCGGTGCGGTGGGAGCCGGTAAACCCCGCACTATTTTCCCTTTGCTCAAAGACACACTGTGGCTCCGCACGATGCACCGCATCGCCTCTCCCCGCCCCCGCGCGCAGTGATACCGCCCGGCGGGGGGGGGGGGCGGAGGTGATGACGGACAGGAAAGCCGACCTATCGAGTCCTCGGGATCCGCCCACTTCGGCGGCGCGCGGCCAATCGGAGGCGAGGGCGGGCGTGGCTGCGCGGCGCGAGCTGTGAATTGTCTGCACTCGATACATTGTGTCCCCGCGGGTTCCACAGTGTAAGGCGGTCCTCACACACCACACACAGAGAGAGGGTACACAGACACAGAGAGGGTACACAGAGAGAGAGAGAGTACACGCACACACAGAGGGTACACACACACACACACAGAGGGTACACACACACACACAGGGTACACAGAGAGAGAGAGTACACGCACACACAGAGGGTACACACACACAGGGTACACACACACACACACAGAGGGTACACACACACAGGGTACACAGAGAGAGAGAGTACACACACACACAGAGAGGGTACACACACAGAGGGTACACAGAGAGAGAGAGTACACACACAGAGAGGGTACACACACACAGAGGGTACACAGAGAGAGAGTACACACACACACAGGGTACACACACACACACACAGAGGGTACACAGAGAGAGGGTACACACACACAGAGGGTACACACACACACACACAGAGGGTACACAGAGAGAGAGAGTACACACACGAGAGGGTACACACACACAGAGGGTACACAGAGAGAGAGAGTACACACACAGAGAGGGTACACAGAGAGAGTACACACACACACAGAGGGTACAGAGAGAGAGAGAGAGAGTACACACACACACAGAGGGTACACACACAGAGAGAGAAGGTACACACAGAGAGGGTACACACACTACAGACACACACAGAGGGTACACACACTACACACACAGAGAGGGTACACACACACACACTACACACACAGAGAGGGTACACACACACACTACACACACAGAGAGGGTACACACACACACACACACACAGTGTAACGCGGCCCTCATACACACACAGAGAGAGTGCACACACACACAGTGCACACACAGAGAGAGAGAGTACACACACACACACAGTGTAACACGGCCCTGATACACACAGAGTGCACACACACAGAATACACACAAACAGTGTAACACGGCCCTGATACACACAGAGAGAGTGCACACACACAGAGAGAGGATACACACAACAGTACACACACACAGTGTAACAAGGCCCTGATACACAGAGAGTGCACACACACAGAGTACACACACACAGTGTAACAAGGCCCTGATACACACAGAGAGTGCACACACGCACACAGAGAACACACACAGAGGCTACACACACACACACAGAGTACACATACAGGCTACACACACACAGTACACACACGGGCTACACACACAGAGAACACACACACAGGCTACACACACACACACACACACACAGAACATACACACAGAAGATACACACACACAGAGAAGATACACACACAGAGAGGATACACACACACAGAGGATACACAGCCATAGCCACAGGGATACACACACACACACTCGGGGGTACAGAGGGGGACACCGTGCAGTTGGCATGGCCGGGGAGGCGCCCTCTCTGCCGGGCAGAAGGGTTCTTGTGTGCGCCCTCTCCAGCTCGTGTCCTCAGGCTGAAGCTCTCAGACCAGCCTCAGACTGGGACTGGAGAGCAGGGTGGATCCGAGCAGCTTCCCATCAAGACAGACTGCACCAGGATTTGTCTGTGAGTCTCTGCAATTGGCTTTCCGTGTATTCTGGGATGTGCATATTTATGTATAAAATAATTATAATACGACTTCAGAAGAATCCGGTATATTTTTCTTGTTGGGGGAAACATGAGGGTGTGTGTCTGGTTAGTGGTTGGAGGGAGGAATTTGCAATCAACTTTTTTTAGTGACCAATATGCAATGCAGTTGGTGAAAATGATTTCATGACACAGGCCTGAGTAACAGTTTCATTCTGGTATTATTATTATTAATAATATTATTAACATGTTTAATGCAGGCGGTGTAGGAATATTTCTATTCGCTGAACTCAAGCTTTTTTTTAATTAAAGGGTTTGGTTATTGGGTTTATCGAGTTCTTATCTTACTTCACAGAAAAGAACAACTTGAATTTGTATGGCGCCCCAGAAAACATTCTGTAACATTTCCTTTTCCTCCGGTTTTTAAAAAAAACCTGGAAGAATATAACTGTCCGAACTCTTCGGTGATGCCTTTGCCTTGAGCTCGGGGCTTTCTGCTGCATGGGATTCATTTGGTAACTTGTGCGACTTACATTACAGCCTCTTGGCCTGCTGCAGAATTGACCATTTTGATTTGTGAATTCATATTATAAGCCATATCACCTCTGACCAGATTTCGCCTACAAAATACCCAGAAAATCCACGTTACAGTATATCCTGTGAAGTGCGTTGAGACGTCTCGACGATGTGATAAGGTTCTATATCAAATGCAAATTATTATTATTATTTCCTTGGGGGAAAAAAATGGGTGAGCGTAATTGTTTTACACGAGTGCTTCGGATTTCCTGTCTTAGTCTCCTCCCACCGGTCGGTGCCCACTCCACGCCCTCCCAACTTAAAGCAACAGGGATATGGAGAGCGTTTCCATTGTGTAGTAATGGGAACTAGGAACCTGCTGGGGGTCTAAACATCCTGTGTTGTAAGCTCGGTGAGAAATCAGCCTGTTCCTATGGTCGATGGATGCAAATTGTCACAAATCTAGAAGGGCAGAGCTCTTGAGAATGAAAGGCCTCTCCAATAATAATTTATTTCTTAAAATTTAAAATATATATATTCCCTACTTGTCTCCTCACAGTTCAGAACAGTAGTTCCTGTGTTCTCGTGACAAACTAACTTATCTGTCCACATTTAATTCCGAGGAAGTTTTTTTGGAAATATGCGTGATGGCCGTTCAGGGTCAGAATTATGTGCAGAATAGCAGGTACGCTGCGGAGGGAGTAGAAGGAAGTGGTCACTTGGGGGAGGGGTTCAAGATTCCTGACAACAGCAAACAATAACTTGAATTTGTACAGCGGCCTTCCCACAGGATAGATTCTCGGAGCACTGTGGCAATTAGAGTGATTTATAATTGTAACCTGGAAATGAAAGTGCCGTCTTTTGGATGAGATGATAAACCGAGGTCCCGTCTGCCTGTTCAGGTGGATATTAAATATCTCATGGCACTATTTGAAGAGAAGGCAGTTTCTAACTGACTGCTGCATTTCGCCTGCATAACACAGTCAATCTACTTTACAAAATATGCTGTGAAGCACTTTAAGACGTCTCAACAACATGATAAGGTGCTATATCAAATACAAGTATTGTTTTTATTAAAGAGTCGCTTAGAATTTAATTGCTCCTTTATTTTTGGGGATGCAAAGTATTTATCTCTCTTGCATTTATCCCTCGGGTGAAACATTGGGCAAGTTTCCTTACTCCACACGCCTCTGTTTACCTAACAGTAAGTAGGAACCCGGTTGTTAGTCGATTGGCGGATAGCTTTTCCGGGCATAATAATTCCTTAAAAAAAATTTGGTCAAAATAATAATTCTTGCATTTGATATAGTGCCTTATAATGTCTTCTAGATGTCTCAAAGCGCTTCACAGTATATACTACAAAGTGAATTGCACAGTAGTTCCCACAAACATTCGTGGATTGAGTGACCACACTTTTTTTGAGGGATTATTAGCCCCGGAAAAGCAATCCGACGATCAACTGATCTTGGGTTCTTGTTTGACCATCAACTATCCTTCTACCCCACATCTGTACCTTCCCCACCTCCACAACATTGCCCGGCTCCGCCACTGTCTCACACTGCAGCCGCCGAAACCCTCATACACTCCTTCATTACATCGAGGCTCAACTATGCAAACTCACTGCTTGTCGGCCTCCCCAACTCCTCCCTCCATAGGCTGTGGATCATCCAGAGCTCTGCAGCCCATGTCCTCTCCTGCACCAGGCTCTGTGACTCTTATCACGCCCATCCTCGCCCAACTCCACTGGCTTCCCATCACACAGAGGATACAGATCAAGATCCTGGGCCACACCTTCAAAGCCCTCAATGGTCTTGTTCCCCCCTACCATTGAGACCTCCTAATCCCTACCATCCTGCCCGATCCCGCCCCTCAACGGGCTGTGGCCTGCTTCACGTCCCCCACCTCGCTCGCCCCACTATTGATGGGTGGGCCTTTTGCCACTCTGCCCCCACCCTCTGGAAATCCATCCCACAGTCCCTCCCCCTTCGCCCCCCTCCCTTGCCTCCTTCAAGACCCATATCAAGACCCTCCTCTTTGACTTTGCTTTCGATCTCCCTGCTTCCCCCCCCTACCTTCCACCCTCCCCTCCACCTTCCCCAATGTATTCCGTGAAGCACTTTGAGACAGCTCAACAATGTGATAAGGTACTATATCAAATACAAGGATTATTATTTCATTTAAAAAATATCTCCTATTCCTAAACCATCTCCAGCAGGCAAAGCAACCACGGGAGGTGAGAGGAACTTGCGAGTCTACACGTTCCCAGTCTGAGGTTGTGTGAGCTCTAAAAATACCATGCTGTATAGATCTTAATCTGTCCTGCAAAATCCATTTTCACTTTCTCCTGCTTAATGATTGATTTTTTTTTAATAGTAGTAACTATATCTAACTAGTTGGTATTTTTAGTTGTGGGAAATAGGTTGCAACAGATTATTGGCAGGCAATGTACGTGGGTGGGTGTTCGTCACCTGGTAAGCACTTCATGCTGAACAATTTGCAATACAAATTAATTCATTTCTAGAAGGAGTCTTGTATGTCTTTGAGCTGTGTGTGTGTGCGCACATAAAGCCAGTTCTGCTCAAATACAAGTTGCTTCACTGACCCTGGTCCCTCACCTTACTGACCAAAGCATTCATTGTGGAGTCCTGTAGCTTATTAGAGCACTCCCCTCACAAGCGAGAGCACCCCGGTTCGATTCCAAGGCTGGGTAAAACCTTAGGCAAATTTTCTTACTCCACACTCCTTTGTTTACCTAACAGTAACTAAGAATCCAATTGTTAATCATTTGGCAGATTGCCTTTCCAGGGGTAATAATCCCCTCAAAAAAAATAAATAAAATAATTTAATAATTTGGTCACTCAAAGTTTGTGGGACCCTATTGTGTGCAATTGGCTGCCGCGCTTCACCCACAAGATATTTTACTTTACAGTGTATTCTGTGAAGTGCTTTGAGATGTCTCAAAGATGTGATAAGCCATTGCTAGGCGAAAGAAGACTGAGGTCCATGCTGTTTGCTTTCCACCATGCTGGCATGCACGTGTCGTGTCCCAAACTATATAGGGTATCCTGAGATATTATTTCCAAAAGTAAATCTGATCTAATTTGCTTTTGAAAGAATCAATACTTTCTGCTTCCTTCATCTCTCTAGGGAACCTGTTTCACATATTTACTTCATTTCCTTCCCCCTTCAGTCAGGTAAAGCAGGCGAGGCTTTGTCTCTGGAGTGGGAGTGTGTTATGTCAATAAGGATGCCAAAAGTATTGCTGTTTCTGCTGCTTTCCAATGATGACACTGTTTCCTTTGCTGAACAGACTGCTTTCCAGACAGTGTTTGGGGTGACTGCGTTGGTGGAGTTGAATGTAGTCTTTTTAGAGATTCAGTTAACCTTTTCTGTGCCTTGTTACTTTTACTTGTCTCACTCGTTCACAAATCCCTCCAAACCCTGGCACCACCCTACCTTTCTGACCTGCTTTTCCCCCACTCCACTTCCCGCTGCCTTCCCTCGGTTGGCTCTGGCCTCCTGTTTGTCCCTTGTTACATCCGCTCTACTTTGGTTACCTCCTCCTCCCCCACTCCCCTGACTCTCCGTCAGGCTCTGTCACTGTTAAGCGCTCTGACACACTGCCCCGTGTGAAGGGCGCTACAAAAATGCAATGTTTTAAATCTACCTCATAACAGCCCAAGCAAAATTATTCTGTGTATCCCTTCGTTAGCCTAATACCCACAAAGTACAGAATGAAACAGAAAAGCATAATATTCATCTGTTTTAGTTTTTTTCAAATTCCAATAGGACAGTTAATATTGAATGATAATAATTAATAAACATATATGTAGGTCCTATAGGGTATTTAGATCACTCGCCTCGCAAGCAAACAGGACCCAGGTTTGATTCCCGGCAGGACGAAACCCAAGGCAAGTTTCCCTACTCCACAGCCCTCTGTTTATCTAACAGTAAGTAGGAACCTGGTTGTTAGTCGATTGGCGGATTGCTGTCCGGGGATAATAATCCCTTCAAAATAAAATTTGGTCATTCAATCCATGACTGTTTGTGGGACACTGCTGTGCGCAATTGGCCGTCGCGTTTCTTCCACAAAATATACGGTCAATTCACTTTACAAAATATTTTGTGAAGCACTTTGAGAATCTAAAAGACATTATAAGATGCTCACTATATCAAGTGCAAGTATTACTGTTATAGTCTTATTACATTGTTGAGACATTTCAAAATATTGCACAGGATTTATTGCCAAGTGCAGTGGCCTGTATTTTGCATGGGGTTTGTGACAGATCATATGCTTGCAGTGTAGCTGCTCTGGCAATCACATCCCTGTGGCAACCTTTTGTTGCATGTTTTTCTGTCTTCTACTCCAACACCTCATAAATTTACAGGCGTTGGACGATGCATTTGATTTCCCACGAGATCTGTCTATCTGCACCTTTTGTGATCAGAAACGACCAACGTTACTGTGAATTATTATCGTTGGCTTTACAGTCAATTCACTTTACAGTATGTTCTGTGAAGCATTTTGGGACGTCTAGAAGACGTGAAAAGCGTTATATCAAATGCAAGGATTATTATTTTTGTGCTGTCAGTTGAAATATCAATAATTTGTAAGGTCAGATCGCAGTGCTTAAAATTGAAAGATCTCTAGATCTAAAGCAATAATAATAATCCTTGCATTTAATATAGTGCTTCATCACATCTTCGAGACGTCTCAAAGCGCTTCACAGAATATACTGTAAAATCAATTTTATATTTTGTGGGAGAAACAAAGTAGGTGAAAGTGATGAAAGTAATTGGTTAGGTTTTTAAAAATATTTTTTTTAATAAAAAGTCACATTAAAACTTCCGAAGTCTGGAAGGTCCAGAGAAATGGCAGTCTCCCCAGGCTAACCGCTTTTTAGCTCCCGTGTAATAATGCTGAACTAAATACTCCGTAAAACTCTAATAAAGCTATTTTCCAGACAATAATGATATTAATAATAATCCTTGCATTTGATATAGCGCCTTTCATGTCGTTGAGATGTTTCAAAGCGTTTCACAGGATATACTAGATTGATTGTATTTTGTGAGAGAAATGCAGCAGCTTGTTACACACAGCAGTGCCTCACAAACAGCCATGGAGTGATTGACTATGGCAGATGATGGAAAGCATTTTATTAAGTTGCTGCATTTCCCTTCAGTAAGTCAGCATGTTTCAAAGTAACCCTCGTATGTTTTGACACCGTAAGCTATTAAAATCCAGTGTAAGAATTGTTTCAACTATTTCCAGTTGCAAAGCTTCCAGAGGGAATTCTAAATCTGAATCTTTTTGTTCAAAAACTCAATCAGGTTCTGCAATTAGATGCAATGTGTTCAAATTTTATTGGGTCAAACCAGCAAAATCTGCTTCTGGATAAGTTAACATTATCGGTGAGTGAATTCTTTCCTCTTTCTCTCTCTCTCCTACTGAGGACTCGATTATGCCCAGACTAGTAGTCATCTCTTGCACAGTTAATGGCTGAGATATACAACAGGTGAAAGATACCAGAGAGAGGAGGAGGAAAGTGTTTTGTTCATGTTTGATTCTCATGTTTGTTCAGTCACTGGGGGCAATGACTCTTCCCACTCCTGTTAACCCTGTCAACCAAAGTGCAAACAGATAGGGTGGTCTTAGCTGGACAAGCAGCAGGAAAACTTACCAGAAAGTGCTCTCAGTGGCAAGCTATGTAGTTAAACTCTAGTAGTTACCCAAATGCACCACTCTGGCATCCCAAAGCCTTGGTTCCTGCCAACCTGCACACAATATTCTCTGGAAAAATGGAATGCATCCCTCTAGGGAGCGTGTGCATTCCAATCCAGCCACAAGGAAATTTCCATTGGTAGGTATTGTACATATGTAGAACTCTGGTGTTTTGTTTGGAGCCTCTTAAACATAGTGATGGGTTTCCGCTTGTGTCGGAGTTCTAAAATGTGAATTAACTTCAGATTTTCTTTCCTCCTCCAACCTCAGGTCTTTGTGGAGTTCGATGACCATCAGTGCCAATGGATTAAGGTCTACAATGATGATCTGAAGCTTTTGCTGGTGGAACACCAACTGGTCTCGGCTGAAAGGAAACTATCAAATGGGGTTCAGTGCCCTGCTTTGGTACAGATAAACAATTTATTTATTATTTACAAAAAAAACCTATTCTCCTGCGTTGGCTCAGACTGGATTTGCTAACCTCAATTGGGACGTCCTCCCTACGTGAAGGGTGCTATATAAATGCAATTTTTTGTTGTTAATTTGAACAATGGAGATTAAAAAATAGTGTCGTGTTGTGGAGTCCTGTAGAGTATTGGTTAGAACACTCGCCTCACAGGCGAGAGCATCCGGTTCGATTCCCAGGCAGGGCGAAACTTTACCCACGTTTCCTTACTCTGTTTACCTAGCAGTAAGTAGGAACCCAGTTGTTAGTCGAATGGTGGATCGCATTCAACAAAATCCATTCAATATAATAATCCCTTCAACAAAAAGTATAAACAGTATAGTAATTTGGTAACTCAGTCCATGACTGTTTGTGGGTCACTCTTGTGTGCAATTGGCTGCTGCGATTTGCCCACAAGATATACAGTCTATTCACTTTGAGATGTCTCAAGGATGTGGTCAGCGCTATAACAAATGTAAAGATTATTATTGTCTGGAAAAGTAGTGCCTTGGTACTTCTTTGCAACGTGCCCTTCTAAAGTAAAGCATGGTTGAGGCAATGGGCAATCTGCTTTATGGCAGTGGGGGATGGTGGGCACAGGAAGTATTGGTGACGTCCTCAGCGCCTTGGGACGACTTCCCGACGTGAAAGGCGTTCTATAAATGCAATTTTCTTGTTGTTGAGGCCCTGATAACTATTTCACCATCCGGGGGACGCCTGTTGATGCCAATCTGCAGTTACACTTTGCTCCTGTTGTTTGTCGGTTTTGTCCCCACTGGAATGTTTGGTTTCTGGAAGGCATGTTGTTTTTATTTCCATTCGGTCATTTGAGGTTTATTTTATTCACTTTTGATTTAAAAAAAACATTTTAACAGATAAAACAAAATAACACAAAATTCCCCAAAAAGTAAAATGAACAATTGTGTGAAAAAAAGAATTTCACAGGGCTCGACCAGAGCAAGCAAATTATCCAGCTAGTACCACTCTACCAGTTAGGGCTTTGGCTTGCAGGGTTAATAGGGTTAATAGGAGCTGAGTGGGTGATTCCCTATTCCCAGTGACTAGTCTGCTCTTCCAGGTCCTGCCGATGAGCCCAACTAGCTGTGTTGTCATCAGCAGTGAAGCTCTTTATAACAATATTAATCCTTGTATTTGATATTTCATCATTGAAATGTCTCAAAATGCTTCACAGGATCTATTTAAGTTGTAGTGACTGTTTGTATCTGAACGTCTCTTGGAAGACCTTTTGCCATTTGGGCACTAATGCAAGAATTTGTTTTATTATTACCAATCTCAAAATAGCTTTTGGATTGTGTGTTTCAGACGTTTAAATGCTTGGTGGACAGAGTTGGCCTGGTGTCTGTTTCTCCTGTGGAATTTCTCACTGATAGGTATCGAATCTTTCTGCAGAAAGAAAATTCTCTCCAACTGTTAAAGGTACAGTAATTGGTACTGAACTTATTTTTGCACGGATGTCACTACAATAACAGCAGCATTTACATCATGCTCTCAGAGAGCTTTACAATGGCAGAGTTTGATGCCAAACCAGGGAACAAAGACCATTCAGCCCCTCAAGCTTGTTCCACCCTTCTTTTAGATCATGGCTGATCTGTAGCTCAACTCCATTTACCCGCCTTTGCCTCATATCTCTTGATACCCTGATCCAAGAAAAATCTATCCACCTTAGTCTTGAAAATTTGAATGGATCCAGCAACCACAGCCTTTTAGGGGAGAGAGTTCCAGATTTCCACTATCCTTTGGGTGAAAAAAATGCTTCCTGATTTCACTATTAAATTACCTAGCTCTAATTTTAAGATTATGCCCCTTGGGAGAAAGGGGAAATGACCATAGGCAAGGTTCGAAGACATGCAAAGATAAACAACATAGGGTGACTGAGCCAGAGAGTTGTAGTTGGTCGGGGTGTAGTGGCTGAAAAAGGGTCTGCTGATAGTAGAGCGGAGAGGTTGAGGGAGGTTAGTCACGAGGAAGGCTACAGTTTCCTAGTTCCTGGTTCTCCTGGATCGGGTACTGCAGAGCCACCCGCCAGCAGCAATCGTCTTCCATCCCGGCCTCAGACACAGACTCCTCATACCACCTGCGTAGTTTGTTAGTTTGGCTCAGTTGGTAACAATGGTCAGACAGTCTCTAGGTTGAAACTACAGCATTGGGGGGCGGAGATGCCATCCTTCAGGATGAGATGAGTATCAGTGTTTTATTTATACACGTTAAACAAGAACTAAATTGACTCGCTCCACCCCACCCCGGTGTTTAGAATTAAAATCCATTTGTAGGATATCTTTTTAATAATTTGGAGCCATGTTGCATGAAATTGTTTATGCAGTATTATACATAAATGTTATTGATGTGTCATTTTATTAATGCCCTGTTGCTAAGTCACAACGGAGAGGGTAAAGGAAAGTGAGAGTGAGGGAGGATTGTTTCTTGTAAATACAAAAGAGATAGTTCAACGCATTCAAGAATAAACTTGATGCATACAAGAGGGAAAAGGGAATAGATGTCTGTATGCATATATAGGCGAGGGGAATCAGCACAGATGAGTTGGGCCAAATAACCTGTTTCTGTGTAATTCTATGTCGCATTGAAAGTGGATAGGTAATTGAGGGAGGAAATTGATGTATTTTTTCATTGTTGCTCAACAGATAAATGTGGAAAACCAGCAGCTTTGTGATGAGATAAAGACTTGGTTCATTAAAGAGTCGACTCGAGATCTGTTACTGCACGGTGGGTTGAGTTGTGTTGGAGATGAATCACATTTTTGACCGTAGCCTTCCAAAAAATCTTTCTTCCACTGATCTAAGATAAAAAGGTTTTAATCGTCCAGTGCTTTGGAAATTGTGCTTTGGTCATGCTTTTCCCCCCTTCCCCTTCAGCTCCCTTGAGGAAGGCTTGTTGTACCTCGGTCCTTCCTCGGAGATTAACTTTAATGGTATAAACCAATCAACTCACTAGCGCAGACTTGTTGGGCAGAATGGACATTGAACTGAGGCCCATCTGTCTGTTCAGATGGATGTTAAGGATCCCATGGCACTATTCAAAAAGAGAAAGGTGTTTCTCTCTCTTGGTGTCCTGGTCAACAATATCCGAAAATAAAATTGGTCACGTACTCCATGGCTGTTTGTGGGACGTTGCTGTGTGCAATTGGCTGCGCGTTTTGCCTGCAATATACACAGTCACTCCAATTTACAGTATATCCTGTGAAGCGTCCTATTCTCTGAGATGTCTCAACAACGTGATAAGGTGCTATAAACAGGACTGACCGTCGCTGTTTTGATGGACTTGATGATTTTAAAATTGGAATATCTAGGGGCCTCTCTGTGTGTCTCTTAAGTCTCAATCATTTGCCCTAGATCACAAAACAAAAGGTTTTACAGCCTGTGCCACTGAATCCTCAATGTTGTATGTCTCTTATTTCTCAGGTACCAGAAACCTGGCAGGTTACAAAGTGATGGTGTACGACTTGAATTCCTCTGCTTGTTGGTTTCCAGCCACAATTTCTCACCACAACTTAGTGAATCGACTGATTAGGGTCATCAGTGAGCAGGTGAAAGGATTGCAAATGTTAAATTCTTCCATCCTTTGGATGAGATGTTAAACCCAGGTTCTGTCTGCCTGTTTGTGGGAGAGCTTTCGAGCCTCATTGATTTCCCTGCCCATTGACACTCATAAGCTCCCCCTGTGAAGATTTAAGTAAATATGTTTTGCCCCCAACTATTACAACCATTTGTAATATATTTGTTTGTAATAAAATGTTGTTTTCTTTAAGTTTCCTGATGGTCAAAGTGTGGACCCGGCTTTGATTCAGGTGTCTTTTCTGAACCATGAAGATATTGAGGTGCTGAATGGCGACTATAAGAATGCCGAATGTGGTAAGTGTCACTTCTTCCTGTTACTATTCCCCCTTCTACTAAATTTTAAAGTATTTAACATAGACTATAAGATCAGCAGGGGAGCTTTAAAACAGAGGTTTAGGAGGAACTTCTTTACGCAGAGGTTAGTGAGAATGTGGAACTTGCTGCCGTAAGCTGTGGTTGACCCAAAAATCATGTGTTAAAGAGGAAACTTGATGCAACTGTGAGGGAGAATGAAATAGAGGGGTATAGAACGGTTAGTGGCTCGTGTGGAGTATAAACACCAGCGTGGCTCATTTTTAGTTTTGCAGCATTCTAACAAACAAATTGTTAACTTATGACATATTTGCCTACTTTATTTCTAAATAATCACTCTAAATTAATTCTGTGTGTCAGCCTGGCTCAGTGGTATCACTCTCAACTCTGAGCCAGAAGGTTGTGGGTTCAAGCCCCACGTCGGGCCTTGCAATCACAAAATCTAGGATGACACGCCAATGTGATGCTGGAGGGTGTTGCATTGTCAGTGGTGCTGTCCTTCGGATGAGACGTTAAACACAGGTCCTGCCTGCCAGTTTAGATGGACATTAAACATCCCACGACACTGTTTGAAAAGAGAAGGGAGTTACTCCTGGTGTCCTGGACAATCCCCCAAATAAAATTGGTCACTCATTCCATTGCTGTGCGCATCTGGCTGCCGTGTTTCACAATATATACAGTCAAATCACTTTACATCATGTGAAACAGTTGAGATGTCTTGAGGATGTGATAAGACGCTATATCAATTGTAAGGATTATTTGTTTCAAGAGCTTTATTTTGAGAGGAAGATGCTATTATAAGTGCAGCTTGTTGTCAATTCATTCGTTACAGATAAATCCCCCCATGTCCAGCACACTGACTCCCAGTGCACAAAGAGAAAGTCTGCAGACGGCAGAAAGGATGGAACCAAGAGAATAAAGGTTGCTCCCACTGCTGAGAGTGAGCCATTGCCAGTGACCGAGGGAGGTGGGAGCTGCGAACGGATTCTCCCTGTTTCTGAGACGGAACTGGTGACGGAGCGGGATGAGGGGAGGAGGGGACTGTTCCCGGATCCCGGCATTCTCTGCACTGACGGAGCCGAGCCTGCTGTGGACACTCGGAGAGCAAAGCCTCTGTTGGGGTTTGCCAGCAGCCGCGCCAACTTCAGTATGTTTTTCTCGACCTACGCGAGAGACAGCGGCAGAACATTGGTGGTGGAGGATGGTCCCAGGCCTGGGACTAATCTGCCAGGTACCCCACAGGCTATGGATCACACTGCTCAACCACGGTGTGCGGAGACGTGCTGTCCCACACTGCACAGGTGCCAACACCCCGTGGAGGAGTTGAGTAAAGAGGCGGCCACTTGCTGTCCATGTCAAGTAAGTACAAGCCCTGTAATGTGCCTCCATGTGCTGTTCATTGGTGCCAGCCTGGTTCACTTGATGTTGCACTCTTTTCCCCTGCATCTGAAGGTTGTGGGTTCAAGCCCCATGTCAGACTTGGAATTACACAGTCTAAGTTGACACTCCAATACAGTGCTGTGGGGGGGAAAGGGGTGGGTTACATTGTTGGAGGTGCCGTCCTTCGGATGAGACATTATCCAAGGTGCCATCTGCGTTCCAGTTTATGTTAAAGATCCCACGGCATTATTTAAAAAAAGAGAAGGGAGTTTCACTTTCCCGGTATCCTGACCAACAATCCTCCAAATAAGGTTGGTCCCTCACTCCGTGGCTGTGTGAGGGATATTGCTGTATGCGAGTAGGCAGCTGAATTTCACTCACAAAATACAAAGTCAATCCACTTTATAGCTTATTCTCTGAAGCGTTTTGTGATGTCACTCGACACTTGAAAGGGCCTGTATCAAATGCAAGGATTATTATATTTTCTCCGTCACGGTTAGATTGTTTAACATTAGCCCTTTGTGTTGATTGCTGCCGCAGGTCTCCAGGGCTGTCAGTGTGCCAATAACTCCCTCCACGTTGGGGGGTGAGGTGTTGCTGGGAAGCACTGCTACCACCCCTGGGACAAAAGACTTGAGATGGACAACACCTCCTCCTGCAAATTCCCCTCCTACCATCACTGCAGAACCACCTCAAGGGTAAATATCTGGCATCCAGTTACCCTTTCAGTGCCTCTGGGTAGATTTCATCCATGGCCATTAACATGTGAAAAAAAGTCTTGTTTTGCCTACTGGTTTCCTTCCCCTTACTTTCCTTACTTTCTGTGATCAGCTGGGTGTCTATTAAGTTGAAGTTGTTTGATATCAGAAGTTATTAGAGGTTTGCCTGGCTCAGTGGTAGCACTCTCGCCTTCGAGTCAGAAGATTGTGGGTTCCAGTCCGACGTTGGGACTTGGAATCACATTGTCTAAGCTGACAATCCAATGCAGTGCTGGGGAGTGAGCTGCACTGTTGGAGGTACCATCTTTCGGGTGGAACGTTAAACCGATGTCCCATCTGCTGTTCAGGTGGATGTTAAAGATCCCCTGGCAATGTTTGAAAAGAGAAGGGAGTTTGTCCTGGTGTCCTGGCCAACAATCCCATAAATAAAATTAGTCACTCACTCCATGGCTGGTTGTGCGACACTGCTGTCTCACAAACTGGCTGCTGCGATTCACCAACAAAATACAGTCACTCCCCTTTACAGTATATCCTGCGAAGCGCTTTGAGACATCTCGAGGAAGGTATAGACGATAGAATAACTCCACTTGGTTATTGTTGCTATCCAGGGCCATTCGGCAGCAGAGAATGGGAGAGGAACTCAGTGAGAGCGAGAGGGAAGATGTTCCAGTGAGCTGTGGAAACAATACCTCGATCTTGCCGGCGTTCAGCTCGTCGAGGTTGTTTTTGCAGGAGGAGCTCCACGGAGCCGCGTGTGGAAAGGACGGGAACCCATTATCAGAATGCCCGGGTATCTCTACAGACGTGCCTTGTGATGTGACAGAGGAGACGGGACCATCAATGGCCAACGGAGCCACCAACGGTTTGCCATTGCCTCGATCCCCTTCGACTCTCAGCCGGGATTTGCCTCCCGAAATTGTGCCGAAGGGCAATGGTTTCACCGCGGTGAGCGAAGCCTCGGACGGGCCACGTTTTGTGACCCGGGGAAGCCCCTCGGCAGCTTCCAGTGAGTGTGCTTTTGCCGGGCGTCCATCGTGGCCGGGATTTAGTACAGACTACACCGTGATACCCCGGATGCCGACTCCCTTTCAGACGCCTGCCGACGGACGAGAGGAAAAATCCGAGCGCAAGACTTGTTTTGGCGGAGAGGGTGAGGTACGCGGTTGGGCAACCATCTCTCCCGGCGCTGGAACACCGGCTGACGTCCGGCCAACTTTGAGCCAAGGCGAGCTTCCAATGGGCCGGTGGGAACCTCACCCGCCTGCGTTTACAGAGCAGCGAATGCCACAAATCACATCCGAACCAGCACAGGGGCCTCGCGACCAGGCTCTGCTGCTCCGCTATCAGGTGCACGGGGACGGGGACGAGAGCGATGATAGCACGGACAGCGAGGTCAGCTGCCTGTCAGACGCCAGTTTGGAGCCCGAGCCCTCAACTCCTGGAGGCTCCAGGGATCCGGGGCCCCCCTTGGCTCCGGGAGCAAGGCCACTGGCAAGACCTGGTGCTGGGGGAGGAAGTGGCCCCGTGAGGAAGGTGCTGTGGTACAAAGAGAGACGAGGCCGAGGTGAGTGAGCAGCTCCTTTACTCACAGTTGGCGGTGACATTAACCGCGTGGGTTAATGTAATATAATCAAACTCACATAATTCACATCAGTCCGGCCCATAACATTTAATATGCCTTACGCAAAGTCCGAGTGGTGGGCAAACTGTATAAGTCGTATAATATCCGATTTAGACAATAATCTACGCTGCACATACTTACTTCAGTGCAGCTGGTAAGTGCGTATGGGGTGATGGCTCAAGATTACGTTTCCTATGATTTAATACATCTTGACACATTGCTACATGTGCAATTACCGGCAAGTGTTGGAATCGCATTGAATCGTAGGAAATGAAGTTCTTCTGCGCATGTGGCAGCGTACGTTTCCTCTGATTCAACGCAGCCGACCAATTCATCCCAATTTGGAAGTCGGTTGATTCACCGTTTTGAAGAACTGTGCAAGAATGGGCTTCCAGATTGAGACAGAACGTTTGCAAAATGGTCTTGCAACTAAGGTCTAGTTGGAATTTCAGGCCTATGGAGGAAGGAAGAATGTGCTTTTTACAAACAAAACATAACCCCACTCCTCTATTACTCCATTACTCCCGCACTTATGGCTGCATTTCTGTCCCTGTCCCCATCCCCTCCATTACTAGTGCTATATTTTAACCCTTGGACTGCTGGCGGTTTTAAGGAAAACACTCAAGATTTAATATTGTGCGCTGTGGCGCTGAAGGGATGCTAACCTGATGTCGTGAAGTACTATTGTGACCAGCATTTTTTAAATTAAACTGAATCTCCCTTCTCTGCTTTTGTGTTGCTTTTCACTCTCTCTCTCACTCTCTATCTCTGCAGTGAATGTCCACCGCTCAGTGCTGAACGACCCTCACAAGGTCCGAGCGTTGCAGCAAAGCGGCGAGTCCTTCCTGCAGGACGGCTCCTGCATCGACGTCGCTCCCAACCTGCACAAGTGCAGAGAGTGCCGCCTGGCCAGCTACCAGCGGCACAGAGACGAGGCCGACTCCACCGTCTTCTGCAGGTTCTTCCACTTCAGAAAGTGAGTGAGTGTGGGTGAGTGGGTGTGTGTGGGTGAGTGTGAGTGTGCCGACAGACCAGTGATTGTACTAAAACAGTGGAGTCCTGTAGTGTAGTGTAGTGGCTCGAGCACTCGCCTCACAAGCGAGAGGGCTCGGGTTCGATTCCTGGTGGGGCAAAACATTAGGCAAGTTTCCTTACTCCACACGCCTCTGTTTACCCAGCAATAAGTAGGAACCTGCTTGTTCGTTGAATGGTGGATAGCTTTTCCGGGGGTGATGATCCCTTCATATAAATAAATAAAATAAGAACAATTTGGTCACTCAATCCACAACTGTTTGTGGGACACTGTTGTGAGCAATTGGCTGCCACGTTTGTCCACAAAATATTCAGAAACTCACTTTACAGTATATTCTGTGAAGCATTTTGATGACTTGATAAAGTGCTATATCAAATTCAAGGATTATATTATTTCTTATACATAGAAATTCCCAAAAGATACAGCGATTGTGAAGGAAGACACCTGAAAAGTCCAACCCTTTGCGTCTTCTCATTGTGATCCTGTTGTTGACCGAGCTGCTGTCTTTTTGCTCCAGGTTACAGTTTAACAAACATGGTTTACTGCGTGCAGAGGGCTTCCTCACTCCCAACCAGTGCGACCCTGAGGCCCTTCGCCTGTGGATGCCCTCCGATGCCAACGTCGAGGGTTTGGACCTGGATACGTCCAAGTACATTCTGGCCAACATCGGAGACCACTTCTGCCAACTCGTCATGTCCGAAAAGGAAGCCTTGAATCTAGTGGAGCCTCGTGGTAAGTCGGCCGAGAGAATGTTTTAAGAGGGAACTTGATTGAGGTGTTCAAAATTATAAAAGGGTTTGACAAGGTTGGCATAGATAGGCTGTTCCCACTGGTTGGCGAGTCCTTAACCAGGGGACACAAATATAAGATGCAGATTAAGGGATCTAACAAGAGAATTTAGAAGGAACTGCTTCATGCAGAGGGTAGTGAGACTGGAACTCACAGGCTGAAGCAGTAGTTGAATCAGATAGTATGGATGCATTCAAGAGGAAGCTAGACCTTCACATGAGGAGAAGGGAGTAGAAGTTTCTGCAGCTCGTGTCCTCTACTGCACCAATCTCCGTGACCCTCTCACCCCACCCTCGCCCGGCTTCACTGGCTCCCCATCCTTCAGAAGACAGAATTCAAAATCCTTGTGCTCTCTTTTAAATTCCTCCACAGTCTTGTGTCTACCTACCTCTGCGACCTGCTAAAACCTTACCAACCTGTCTTCTCCACGCTGCAGGCACTGGCCTGCTCCATGTGCTCTCCTCACCATCAGCGGTCAGGCCTTCAGCTTTTCTGCTCCCACTCTCTGGAACTCCATCCTCCCTTGCCTCCTTCAAGGTCCGTCTCAAAACCTTCCTCTTTGACCCCACCTTCGGTCACTCTCCCACCCCCACCCATCTCGCCCTCCACCCTTCTTGATTCCAACTCCCAGCTCAGCTTTCACTGTCCAGCACTGTGGGACAACATTCTGAAGTGAAAGATGCTGTATAAATTGGTAGTGGTGATTGTCGTTGTTCTTGACTGGCGGATTGTAGATGTTGAAATATTTGAGGCATTTTTTACACTTTGCACATTTTTGCCCACAAAGTACTGTCAAATCCACTTACAGAATATTCTATGAAGCGCTTTGAACCGTCTCAACAACATGAGAAGGCACTTTTCTGAATGCTATTACTATTATTATTTTTAGGAAAAATGGCCTGGAAGCGAGCAGTTCAGGGCATCCGGGAGATGTGTGATGCCTGTGAAACCACCCTCTTCAACATCCACTGGGTCTGTTCCAAGTGTGGCTTTGGCGTGTGCCTCGACTGCTACAGGATGAAGAAGAGCGGCACCCAGCAAGGTACATGCTGTCTTTCTCTTTAGAGGAGAGGTGAAAGGGATTGGGAGTTGTGCCGAGGTAGGGAGTGAATAAATCGGATCATTTCGTGTTTGAATGGATCACTTCTTATGCTGATGCTGTGGCAGCCATCATTCACCACCCCACTCACTGGGCCAAGGCACTTTGGCGTCCCAAGTGCATTTGTTCCCAACTCCTAGGTTGGAAGCAGTTTCCATTCTCTCCTTTTTTCTCCCACCAACTCTGGAGGGTGTTTGCCTTCTGAGGCTGAGCTATTCTCCCCCCAACCCTCCAAAGGTGTCAAACTCGGGTGACAGCCTGGCTCAGTTGGTAGCACTCTCGCCTCTTAGTCAGAGGTTGCGGGTTCAAACCCCACATCGGGCCTGTGAGCTCGTAGTCTAGGCTCACACTGTAGTACAGTGCTGGGGGAGCGCAGCATTCTAAGAGGTGCCGTCCTTCAGATGAGAAGTGAAACCGAGATCATTTTGCCTGTTCAGGTGGACGTTAAAGATCCCATGGCATTACTTGAAAAGATCCCCTGGTATCCTGGCCAACAGTCTCTCAGATAAAATTAGTCACTCATTTCATGGTTATTTATCGATGAGAGCTAACTTTCTCCAGTTGAACGTCTACGAGACTCTCCTAATTGGCTCCCGTCAGCGCCTCTACACCTCAGGCGCTGACAGCATCACCATCCATGGATGTACACTCCACTTTACTAAGCCAGTCAGGAAACTTGGCCTCTTGTTTGACCCACAACTGTCCTATCTAACTCATATCTGTGCCATGACTCGCTCCTACTTCCCCGACCTCCACAACGTCGCCTGCTCCACTTTTGCCTCATCCCTCAGGCCGCCGAAACCCTCAAACCCCATATATTACATCTAGGCTTGACTACGCCAACTCCCTGCTTTGTCGGCCTTCCCAACTCTTCCTTCCACAAGCTGCAGATCATCCAGAACTCTGCAGCTTGTGTCCTCTCCCACATCAGGCTCTATGACCCTATCACCGCCACCCTCGCCCGGCTCCACTGGTTCCCCATCCCCCAGAGGATAGAGTTCAAAATCCTCATCTTCAAAGCCCTCCACGGCCTTGCTCCTTCCTACCTCTGACCTGCTAACACCATATCAACCTGTCCGATCCTTCCTCTCAGCAGGCTCTGGCCTGCTCCACGTCCCCCATTAGGCCCGCCCCACCATCAGCAGTCGGGCCTTCAGCATCCTTCGGTATAGAAAGGCGCTGTACAAATGTGTGCAGAAACTGGGTGCCACGTTCACCTATAAAATGCAGTTCCTATACTTTACAGTGAATCCTGTGAAATCAAATGCAAGGATTATTATTATAATCTCCAACTCTATTGTTCGAGTGTACAGATGTCTAGAATCAGCTTGCAGATACTGAAATACACACAATTTTTTTTTAATGTCCTGTAGCTGAGTCTTGGTACTGATTCTTTCTCCTTGACCCTAATCTTCACAGATAATAATGAAGAGATTTTCTCATGGTTGAAATGTGCTAAAGGTCAGATCCATGAACCAGATGACCTGATGCCGACTCAAATAATTCCTGGTTCAGGTAAGTGAAAGTTTTACACAAACCTTTAGTTGAAAGTAGAGGACAGAGTGTGCATTGGGTTACTCCTGGAGTTAAATCAGCTAAAAGCACAGAGCTTTTCATTGTCTGGCAAGCTTTCTTACTGCTTGTTCAGCTGGGACCACCCTATCCGTTAGGGCTCGGGGTTGCAGGGTAAAGGATTCATTTCCAAATTCTGCTTGAAACCCCATTTTTTAAAAACTTTATATTAAACCTGTATCTGACATTGATCCTATTTGATGCACCTATGAAGATTAACTCTCTGGTTGCTATGGGGGGGAAGAACAGGTGAGACTGTTTTGCTGCTGTCTGACAACAGCCAATGGACCACAAACCTTGTGTTGAGAGGGGCAAGGCAACCTCTTTAACACAGTACTGTTGTAGCATCAGAGAGGATAAACAAGTTACATAGAGGACTGAGGGAGATGCACAACAGTGCAATAAAGAATAGTCCGGAAAAAGGAGGGATCAAATGGGGGAAAAATGTTGAACAGACTAAGTCGGTCTTGGAGTGCATGTGTTTCTAAAGGATAGAGGGATTAAGGGATATGGGGATAGGGCGGGTAAGTTGAATTAGATTAGAAGATCAGCCATGATCTTATTAAATGGTGGGGCAGGCGCAGGGGGCCGAATGGCCTATTCCTGCTCCTACATCTTATGGTCTAAATGTGTGCAGGATAACTTTCTGGATCAGTATATTTCCAGCCCAACGAGGAAGGAAGCAATGCTGGATCTAATCCTGCGGAATGAAGTGGGGCAAGTGGAGCAGGTTTCAGTGGAGAGCATTTGGATAACAGTGATCACATCATCATTAGGTTTAGGAGCTGGCGTGGACTGAATGGCCTCCTTCTGTGCTGTATGATTCTATGATAATCTTTCCCTATGGCAATGTCACCTTCTGTGCTATAAATTTCTGGGTCCCATAGGGTAGTGGTTAGTGCGCTTGCCTCGCAAGAGGACCCAGGTTTGATTTCCAAGCAGGGAAAACTGGGAGTAATAATCATTGAGGAAAACCAATTTTTTAGAAATTGGCCCCCCTTTTCCACACCAGCTTAGTCTTTAACTTTGGCAACTCTCTTCAGCTGAAATCGACTGCTCTATTTAATACTTTGCCTCGTGCTTTGCATTTCAGCCTTGTATCAGATTGGAAATGTTGTGCATTCTGTGCGAGGGAAATGGGGTATAAAGGCCAACTGTCCCTGCACCTCTCGGAGGACCAAATCCCAGCACAGGCCTCACGAAGCTGTTCAGGTAAAGTTTGTTTTGTCAGTCTGGTCAATTGCGACTGATATTTTAATTCTAATTACCTGCCATTTTCTCCCCACATCCAGTGTAGGCTCTGCCAGCCTATCATCATCACTTGGCTCAGCTCCACTGGCTCCCCATCCCCCATCGGATTGAGTTCAGGATCCTTGTTCCCACCTTTAAATCCTCCCATGGTCTCACCCACATTGCCTCTGAGACCTTCAACCCTACTAACTTGGCCGCTGTCTTTGCTCACTGGCTAGGCTGCCTCATGTCCCCTCTCTAGAGCTCCATCCTGGATTCTCTTCCTCCCTCCCCGCCCCACCTCCCGATTTCCTCCCAATGCGAAAGATGTATTGTATCCATCTCCCTTTTAAACATCCCAAATTAATGTACCTGTATTGTACGGCCTTGCACATTTTCACAACCCTCTACCATCACTAGGCTCAGCTCCTTGGGTTCCCCAGTCCCCCAGCGGATCAAGTTCAAGATCCTCATTCTCACCTTCAAATACTCCCGTTTTGAAGAAATGTTTCCCAATTTTGAAACCATAGAAAAGACGTTTTTTTAAGGAATAATCTCTATTATCATCTGATACATTTGAGACCAGTCTAGTCCTAACCAAGCTGGTCACATGATTATTAAAGCTTTTGTTTGTGCTGCACGTTACAGAGCCTGAATATCGCGGGGGGTTGCTGTGAGGGTCCTGCCTGTGCCAAACTCCCAGGGGGTGGGTGTGAGTGCCCACCGAGTCCAGCTAACGACCATGGAAACCTGCCATCCCCTGCCCTGATTCTGCCGAGGAAAGCAGACTCTCCCTTCAGTTGGATGATCGGCCTGGCTAATGGGAAAGCGAAAGAAGAAAACAAAGGTAACCGTGCTCCCCTCTCACCACCACCCCCAGTCCCCAATCTACACCTAGTCTCTCGCAATCTGCTAGCTAAACCTGGTAACACAGCTGTAGTAATGCTCATTAACCTCCTGCCTCAACACTCCCATGGCTGACTACATTGGGAAGTTAAACTGCAAGCTTCACTACTGGTTACGCCCGGGTGTGTCTTCGCTGCACCCTGAGGCACCGTCCTTCGAGTGAGATGTTGAACCTGAAGTCCCCGGCTGCTTTGTTTGGCTAAGACTCCTCCTTGTGAACTGATCGCTCGCTTCGCAGGTTTCTCCAGGACTTTGTTGTGTTCTGATTGATCGGGTGCAAACCTTCCACTGCCCAGTGGTTTGGGACTTCCTCCTGTCATGAAAGGCACTCTTTGTTTGTTTTTGTTGCTGATCGTTGTTGATTTTCCATGGTTTCACTGACTGCGCTTCGCTGTGAAGGTCTACAAGGCGTTTTATCCATTAGCATTGGGTTAAACGATTTTTTTTCTGTATCAAAACGCAGAAAGCCCACAACTGCCTTCGTTGAAGAGCGAGACCAAGCCAGTGGGGTTGTTCAGCTCCTTGGGCTCTTTGTCCAAACCCTCCGCACCGCTCCAGACTTTCAACAGTTTGCTGACGCTCGCTCCCAGCAGCAGCACTTCCACCGGCTCCCTGAGGAACCTCCTGTCCTCCAGCTCCACAAAGGTTAGCCTTATCTTTCCTCACCTCCATCTGAAAGACATCCCGCTCCCTGCATTGCATGGCGAAGGGAACGGGGCATTGCTTTACCTATGTATTTTGGGACACTCAGGAGGCCCTCCCAACCTGAATGTGGTTGGATAATGTAAATTTGTATTCAGCAAATCGCACAAGTAGTATCAGTCAGGGCTATAACATTTAATATGACTTGAGCAAAGTCAGAGTTACAAGCAAACTATATAGGCCGTATAAAATCCGATTTAATCAATAATGAACACTGCGCTCACATAATTCAATGCACCCGATAAGTGCACAGTCGTTGATGGGTCAAGTTTATTGCCAGGTAGCGACCCGGAAGCTATGGGGACTGTAATGCGTTAACGTTCTCTTATCTTTCTCCCCTCGGTGTGATTTTATATTTTAATTCCTAAATGATTTTAATTTATTTTTAACCTCAGTCTGACTCTGGAGCAAAGAGCACCTGCAATCTCCTGGATGATATATTTGCCTCTCTGGTGCAAAACAAACCGGCCGGTGACCACCCCAAGCCCCCCATCCGAACCGGGGAGGTCAGAGAGCTGCCCCGGCCCCCGGCCGGCAAGGTGGTGATTTTGGGGTCGGACACCCCCCACACCTGGTACTGTGAAGGGCGGCTGCTGTGCTTACAGGATCCCAGCAACAGGAACAACTGGAACATCTTCAGGGAATGCTGGAAGCAGGGCCATGTAAGTGCAGCGGCCAGAACAGGTTTAATGGTGGGATGAGGGTGGGTGTGCGTGTGTCTGTGGTTCTTTGGGTGGGTGGGTGGTAGAGTGTGTGGGTATATTTGGGTATCGAGGTGGGTGTCTCTGTGGTTCTCTGAGTGGGTGACTGTAGTTTCTCTGTGTGGCTGGGTGTCTTTGGGTGTGGGTTGGGGGGAGCTAGGTGCGTGTAATCCCTGTTGACGTTGTCCCAGCCGGTGCAGTTTTCTTGGTGGGTGTGGCTATTTTCTTAATCTAATGAGTTCCTTTCGCTATCTTCCCCCCCCCCCATCCCCACCTTTAGCCGGTGATCGTGTCCGGTGTGCACACTCGGCTGCGGAAGGAGCTGTGGAAACCCGGAGCGTTCGGCAGGGAGTTTGGGGAACAGGAAGCTGACCTGGTCGACTGCAGAAGCAACACGGTCATCGCTGGAGCGAAACTCCGGGACTTCTGGGATGGATTTGAAGATATCTCAAGTAGGTGTTGTAGCCGCTCGTCAGACAGTCAGGGCCACTGCGTGGGAGACTCCGTGCTTGCCTTCACTCATCTTGTGGAGTCCTGTAGCTCAGTGGTTAGAGCACTCACCTTGTAAGCGAGGGGACCTGGGTTAGATTCCCGGGCAATACAAAACCTTAGGCAAGTTTCCTTACTCCACACGCCTGTTTACTCAGCAGTAAGTAGGAACCTGGTTGTTGTTGATTGGCGAATCACTTTTCTGGTGGGGGGTGGGTAATAATCCCTTTTTATAAAAAAAACCTACCCTAAAAAGTAATTTGGTCACTAAATCCATGACTGTTTGTCTACAAAATATAATCAATTCACTTTACAGTATATTCTGTGAGACATTTCGAAGATCTGATCTGATGTGATAAGGCGCTGTATCAAATGCAAGGATTATTATCTTCCCCCCATGGATTTACTTGTCTACTACAAAGTGATTCTCGCTGGGTGTTTGCTACAAAACAGTTGCTCCAATTTGCAGTATGTCCCATGAAGTGCTCTGGGATGTCCTCCTGACATGAAAGGTGCCGTACAAAATATAAGGATTATTTTTTATTATTATTAGCATCTCTAATGTCACTTGCTTCTCAAACAGCACTACCTCTGCCTTGCCCTCTTTATATTGTACCTAAAGACCTTCCTCTTTGACCTATGGTTACCTCCCCTCTCTCCCCAGCTTGACCTCAAACTCTGACACTGTTGAGCTGCATCTGAAGGACGCTGGCTGTATAAATGTTGTTGTTCCTGCACCCAGGGAATGACATCAGCAGTGACTTGACCACAGTGGAAGCAGTTGATTTGTTTAGGTGGGGAAGCTGGACAGTCAGTGGACAACAGGAAGCCTGAACATAGTCTGGGTTCACTCACTAGACAAGGACTGGTACTAAACCAAGTGCTTTGTAATGGGGTCGCCCTATATTTCTATTTAAATCTACAAATAAAGTAGATGAACAATGTAATGTTGAGGTTTTATATCTTCAACATCACAGACCATGCTGCTTCATTGCAACTATTTCCTTTTGTTTCTTAAAAGGGCGCCTAAAAACGGAAGAGGGGGAGCCGATGGCTCTAAAGCTGAAGGATTGGCCCCCAGGGGAGGATTTCAGGGACATGATGCCCTCCAGGTATGTGGTCTATCGGCCAAGCCGTACCAACATCAAAGGCACAAAGATTTCTCTTTCCTTTACTCTTTCTCTCTTTCTCTTTCTCTCTCTTGCTTTCTTTGAAATGGAAGGGAGTTTGGAAGCTTCAGTGCAGGACTGTGGGAATCTTGCATTGTCGGAGGCGCTGTTTCAGATGTGATTATGTTAAACTGTGCCATGTTCAGGTACATGTTAAAGATCCCACAGCACTGTTTGAAAAGAAAAAGGACAAACTGTGTAAATTGGCTTCTGAGTTTATCTACAAAAGACGATCACTACACTATACAGCACATCTTAAGAAATGCTTTGAGATGTTTTGATAGTGTGATAGTAATCTGTGTGTTTGCCAAAATGTTATGTCAACTGTAAGGAGGATTTATTATTTTGCATCGCTTCTGGGTGGGTAGTGAGTCGAGGTGACCGAGCCACAATGACAAGTTACAACTGACGTACATTTGTCTCCACTGTATCGTCCACAGAACTGCTGGCCGGGATGTGTCTCTTTCTTATTTATATAAAATGAGTTATTTTTAAAAGAGTATTTAGATGTTTGAATATTAGAAGGTGAGGGGAAGTGAGATGAAGAACCATTACATTCAGTGGTTCACGTAGAGAAAAATGTACAGAATGACTGGCTGAATATCCCCTTTTCTGGGGATAACATTGTATGATTCTATCAAATTAATAAGTGTATTTTGTGTGTTTGTCTCCCTCTCCCTTTTTCTGCATGTGTGTGCCTCTCTCTCCCCTCCCTCTCTGTCCCTCTCTCTCTCTCTCTCCCCTTCTCTCTTGTTTCCCTCCCCCCCAGGTTTGATGATCTGATGCGTAACCTACCTCTACCTGAATACACAAAGAGAGACGGCAAACTGAACCTGGCCTCGAGGCTGCCAGATTTTTTTGTTCGCCCAGACTTAGGTCCTAAGATGTACAATGCTTACGGTTAGTGGATGCATGTTCTCTTCCAACTCATTGTCTTGTCGATGCACAACAGTAGCAAAATTACATCTGTAGAGTGCCTTTCACATTTTTTCTGTGCACTTCCAGCTGTGTTGAATCACCTAGTGATACAACTGTAGATGACATGTCTTGAATGTGTTCATTATTAAGTGTCAATGAGGGAAGCAAACTAAATGGTGGTTTAAGAGAATCACACAAGACACCAATTGCTACAACATTGTTATCAGAAATATCTTTCCCTCCCTTATCCAATGACATATTTTGGTCAGTGGGTGTCTTGACTCTTGTGGAAACCCATCACCATGCTTGAGAGATCCATGTATGTATTCTCTGTATCTGGAATGGAATACGCACTCTCTCCCTGGTGGGACACCCCCTGCTTACCCAATTCCGGATGGAGTGCGTTGTGTGCAGGTTGGCGAGAGCCAAGGCTGCGATGCTGCGCTGCATGAAGGTGTAAGTTGTGGCTGTATCTCAATGTTGTACCACTGTTGACTGTGAGGTTAACTCTGTGCTCGGTTTGTTAGGGTTGTTGTCGGCCGAGGACAGGAAGGTGGGAACAACGAATCTGCACTTGGACGTGTCGGACGCCGCAAACGTCATGGTTTACGTTGGAATCCCGAACGGGCAGCCTGACCATGAAGAGGGTCAGTACCTGTTGTCCAAAGCTGTGAGCTTTCTCCTGGCTGGCACATCCCACCGGCCCCTTTGTGTCTAGTTCTATGTTTGTACGTCTCTCTTGAGAAGAAAAGTACAATTTGATCTTTTCCTTTATATGATTTGGAGTCCCATAGGATCGTGGTTAGTGCGCTCACCTCAAAAACGAGATGATCCGGGTTTGACTCCCAGGCGGGGCGAAACCTTAGGCAAATATCCTTACTCCACACGCCTCTGTTTACCTAGCAGTAAATTAGAAGCCTGTTGTTAGTCGATTGGCGGATCACTTTCCGGGGGTAATCCACTCTGCAGTATATATCTTGTGAAGCGCTGGAGACAACTCAACGATGGGATCAGACACAAAATCAAATGCAAGGATTATTATTATTTTTGTTTGTGGACGACATCTCCTAATGCAAGTGGTTCACTGCTCCCCCAGCACTGCACTGGAGCCCTGGTCACTCTGTGGTTGTTTTTTGTTCTGGCAGAAGTGTTGAACACCATGGTAGACGGTGAAGTGGACGATTTGACCATTGAGCGCTTTGTGGAGGGCAGCGAGAGGCCAGGCGCCCTGTGGCACATCTACTCAGCAAAGGATGCCGAGAAGATCAGAGATCTGCTCAAAAAGGTGTGTGTGGTAGTCGGGGAGAGGAGCAACCGCGTGGGGAGTGGATGTGTGATGCAGTAATTTTGGAAGGAGTGGAGGAGCAGCAAAATGGAGCTTGTGAATCTGCACCACGAGAGAGAAAAACAACGAAATTCTATTTGTGTGTTTGTTTATTGAGGGTGTGTGTGTGGGGGGAGGGGATTGAGGCATGTATATGTGTGGGGTGGGTATATCTATCATTAAAATCCCAGATGCCTGATAGAGTGAAAGGAGGTGAAAGGAGGGGAAGAGTCGTGTTAGGGGAGTTGTAAAAACATCATTAATGTTCCTTTTTTGCCTACAAATACAGCAAAACAAATTGTATGTATGTAGCTCCCTTGATGTGGGGTAGAGTCTCGGAGCTGAATCCTGCCATTAGAATTGATGATAATGAAACTCTTTGTCGTTTTGACATTATAGGCTCACTATGAGATTCAAGGGTTATTTATTGCAATGCTAACTAGTCAATTTTTTTAGGTGCTTTCAGGAGATGTCCTGACATGAAAGGTGCTATATAAAAATTCAATAAGCTCCCGATAACTCGTCACTCCCAAGGGGAAAGAGCTCAGTGAGTTGTCTGGAATGGCAAGTCAGGCATATGTATAAATACATAATTAAATGTGGCCGGGATATTGACAGTATGATGACACTCAATCCATGACTGTTTGTGGGACACTGCTGTGTGCAATTGGCTGCAGTGTTTTGCCCACAAAATATACAGTCAATCCACTTTACAATATATTCTGTGAAGCACATTGAGACGGTTCAACAACATGATAAAGAGCTATATCAAATGCAAGATTGATTTATTACTATATATCATATAATCAAATGTGGCCAGAATAGTGACAGCATGATGATTTAAGTGGTAGTGACAAGTTAAGCCACGAATGATTTATCAGGAGTTTACTGTATATTGTGTTCTCTCAGGTGGCAGAGGAACAAGGTCAAGAAAACCCCCCGGATCATGATCCCATTCACGACCAGAGCTGGTACCTGGACCAAGCTCTACGCAAGAGGCTGCACCAGGAGTACGGCGTCCAAGGCTGGGCAATAGTGCAGTTCCTGGGCGATGTGGTCTTCATACCAGCAGGAGCTCCTCACCAGGTCAGAGCTGTGCTGTACACTCTAGCTGAGCAGAGACTTGCCCTCCGGCGTGTTTCTATGCTGCTCTGTAACTTCACTATACGGGAAGGAGGGGGCAGGGTTTATTGGCTCTTCTGCTTTTCTTCCCTGAGGGATGGGGAAAAATGGAGAGGATTTTGTTTTTTTGGTCGATTAGCAGATTGGTTCCCCCCCCAAAAAAAATCTTGGTCACTCGATCCACAACTGCTTGTGGGATACTGCTGTGCGCAATTGGCTGCCATGTTTATTATTATAAGAATAGATAGGGCTTGGTTCTCAGATAGTGTAGTTGCGGAGTCCTGTAGCTCAAGGTTAGAGCACTCGCCTCACAAGCAAGCGACCTGGGTTTGATTTCCGGGCAGGGTGAAACATTAGGCAGGTTTCCTTATTCCACGTGCCTCTGTTTACCTAGCAGGAAATAGGAACCTGGTTCTTAGTTGATTAACAGATCACTTCCCGGGGGTAATAATTCCTTCAAAAAACAATAATAATGAATCGGTCACTTCAAAATATACACTCATTTCATTTTACGATGGATTTTGTGAAGCGATTTGAGACATCTCTAAGATGTGATAAAGTGCTATATCAATGCAAGGATTATTTTTTTATTTGGGGGGATTTGTTGGCTAAGACACCGGGAGAGGCTTGCTTCACTTGGCGATGGTGACTCCCTATGATAGAAACTGAAAGCCTCTGAAAGTCATTTCTTGGCCTCGCATGTGAAGAATGGGGCAGCAACAACAACAAGATTACATTTGTATAGAGCAAGGTGTCAGAGGGCAGCCAGATGCTCTACACCTGGTCCATTGTAGTTTCTTTTTTTGTCAGCTGGGTAACACATGCGGAAACCTATCACCAGGCTTAAGCGTATCCAAACCAAACTGAGAATTCCATGTATCCCACCTACACATGGAAATCCCAGAGAGTATTAGGCGCAGGTTGGCAAGAGCCAAGGCATGACGACCCCAGGGCGTATGTCGGGGTAACTGCTGGAGTCTAACCAGCTAAACCCACATAGCTTGCCATTGAGAGCACTCTCTGGCAAGCTTTCCCGCTGCTAGGAACACCCTCCAAATTAGGGCTTTGGCTTGCAGGGTTAACTGGAACTGGGTGGGATGACTCCCTGCCCCAAGTGACCATTGTACTTAAGGGCTGTGTTACTTATTACAGGTTCACAACTTGTACAGCTGCATCAAAGTGGCGGAAGACTTTGTTTCCACTGAACATGTCAAACACTGTTTCTGCCTCACACAAGAGTTCAGGCACCTGTCCACCACACACACTAACCACGAGGATAAGCTACAGGTGAGTCAAAGGAACGCCACACACAATGAGCTACACAAACATCCTCTAAATAACTTCCCTTTGTGATCTTTTCTCTTCATGACTTTTGTCATCTCCAGCCCTAATGTCCTGCCCACGCCCTGTGTTCTGAAACTTTAGCCTCTAAGTCCCCGTTCTCTGGAAGTATGTCCAAAACATTCCTTTGCTTGCAGAGAGGTAAGCAACTGCTGCTCAAGCTCATAGCCTCCAATTGGTGGAACCATTGCTCATTGGGAAGTGATGTGTGTCCGAGCTGTGAGCAGGAAGAAGGTGGCAATGCTCTCACACATTTCATGCTAAGCTGTGTTGCCTTCTAGGAAGCTTGCAAGACTGGTACCTGCCACCTACCTAGTGAGGGCTCAAACCCATGTTTATCAGATGTAAAATGACCAACTAGTAAGTATCCTAGGGAGGAGGGAAGCGGAGTTTCCTTGAAGTTGAACTGGCTCCAACGTGACATGCCTGGCAGTGGAATGTTGGAATCGTGTGGAGGTCTTGGTACTCCCAAGGCTTTGATAACATACCAGCCAACCTGGCTCACCAGAAGGAGCAGACAAGTCAGTGGGAGTTGGGAATCTTCCCACTCGGCTCGGATTAGCCCAGCAAGCTCTTGTCCCAACTGGACAAGTAACAGGAAGCTTGCCAGGATTGAACAGCAAGCATTCCAAGTTTTTTTTTAACTCAGCGGTATCTCCTTTGCTTACTCTGGGGCCCCCAACTCTTGTGATCTGCGTCCCTTAGTAAAAATAATAAAAGCTATCTCTGCGGTTGTAAATAAACCCTTTGGAACTCTATCCCGCAGCCCCTTCGCCTTGCTCCTCCCTTGCTTCCTTCCTTCAAAGCCGATCTCAACACCTTCCTCTTCGACTGTGCCTTTGGTCACCCACCGCCCTGCCCTCTACAACTCCTGATCCCAATCCCCAGCTCGGGTGCAAATCCTTGACTTCCAGTGCTTTAGGGCATCGTCCTGACTTGAAAAGCGCTATACAAATGTATGTTGTCGTTGTATGTCTGCAGGTGAAGAACATTATCTATCATGCAGTGAAGGATGCAGTTGGGATGCTGAAAGCTCACGAGTCCAGTCTTCTCAAGACCTAGGTCCCAAGTCTCCATCATTGACTGAAAGCTCAACTCCTTGAACTGTACACCGTTACCTGCGATTGTGGCAGTTATTTTCAGGAAAACAAGAAAATGTGCTCAAGGAAACTTTTTTTGGCAGGGGGTGGGATTACCCTAGCTTTTTGAGGTTCTATCTCACATACACACTTGTTATCAGCTTTATACCCTTCCTTCCTTCCTTCCTTCTCATAATCTGTGTTATTTTGCTCCTGTGGGTGTACAGGGTGCCCAACAGGGTGTTACTCCTGTTTTTTTTCAACAGTGCTCTGATCAACTGAAACATGTGGAAGAATGATGATAATTGTATTTAGAAGTACTTCATTGTATTCAGTACAAGTGTTTAACTGTATTTAGACGGCCAGAGGATTCATATGAGTGACTGCCATCATTTTCATGGCAGATAATGATCCGTCACCATATTCGTTGCGACATCTTCCGTAACATGATGGAGTGAGGAGGAGAAAAATATCTCTGACAACTTGTGTCAGCTCCTCCATAGTCTCATATCACTGTTTTGTAATGGTGAAGTAACAGGACTTTGTGGACACCCTGTAGACTTGAGAGGGAGAAAAGGAGTTTGGAAACCAATAAAGGGAGATGGAAGTAGAAAACAAATGAGGATTGATATAAGGTGATATTTTCTGTTTTTTTTTAAAAAAATCCAAAGACCAATTATGTAGTGATGGACAGATCAAATCCATCATTTGGTAATACATCTTTGACTTGACTGGAGAAAGAACAAATCTATTTGGGCAACAAACAAAACTAGATGCATAAGTAATTGTGTGCGTGTGTGTGTGTGTGTGTACACAGTGGCACACAACTGTACTTTGGGATGAGCAGATATAGATCACAATAGAAGTGACAATAGCTTTTTCCCCATGTTGTTGCAAAGTAATTTGGGGCTCGCTTCTTAAAGAGGAGTGCACTCGGTTATAACCTGGGCAAATAGAAAAGCGTGGCTGCACTTTTTCTGTGGAGTCCACTACAAACACCCTCCTCTGCTACAAAGATCCTACAAATAGCCCCTCCGCTACAAACCTGTACACACTGGGCGTGAGCAGGCCTTCAACCTAAACTAAGCTCCTGCAACCAATTCTTGATAAGTGCTGTCCTATTCAAATTAACATGTTTAATATTTTAAACAACTGCATGTTCAGGAAATATATGCCTATAGTTTTAATAATCTGGATTGTTTCACAAAATGCCTCTCAATAGCACCAATCAACCCTCCACATTTCCCTGCAAAATTTACCAACACCCTCCCAACCTTCCACACAATTTGCCAAATGCCCTTCAATTTTTGGTAAACGTTTCTGCACTTTTCTATTGGCCCAGGTTATAACCAGCTGTTTACTGGCTTTTACTTTAACAAGTTCTTGAGACTTTGGGCAAGTGTTAGGAGATTGTGTGAAGGATCCCTGTTTTTTTTTCTTTTGACTTCCCTGAACCCCTGCATAGAACACGCATCAATAAAAAGGGATTCAGTTTCTTTGAGTCTTTTTAATTGTGGCCTGTAACATTTCCAGAGGATTTGATGTGAATTGCCTTTTTTAAAAACGTTTTGATGAATGAAAAGGAGAAACTATTAAGCTGGTGAATTGAATTTTTTTGATTACTCAGGACTCGCAAGTAAACCTCTTAATATTAAAGTGGTGTCTTTTCAAATTTTTTTAAAATGTATGATTTGAGTTGAATGGCATCATTCTACAAGGAAATGATGAACTTGCTAGAAATGGCTGGTTTTATCAGTAGATTTAAAGATTTTTACAATACATTACCTAAATGCCTGTATTGAGGTTCTGTTGTACAAGGTGTCCACAACCATGTTACCCCATTTTTTTTTCCTGCAATGCACTGACCATAATAATACTTGTGTTTAATATAGCGCCTTATCATGTCGTTGAGACGTCTCAAAAGTGCTTCACAGAATATACTGTAAAGTGAATGATGCAACAACTGAAACATGTGGAAGAATGATGATAATTGTATTTAGAAGAAGTGCTTAATTGTATTCAGTACAACTATTTAACTATTCAGACATCCAGAGGATCTGTGTGTCAGCGCCATCATTTTCATGCCAGATAATGATCTGGCACCATGTGTGTGACATCTTCTGTGACATGGATGGAGTGAAGAAGCAAAATGCATCTCTGGCAGCTTGTTTCCGGTCCTCTGGGGTCTCGTATTGCTGTTGTGTAGTTTGGGGTGGGGGGGGGTGATGTTAACAGGACACCCTGTACTTGGAGTCTAGACCACTTGATTATTTTAATTTGTGAATCGTCATTTCCCACATGTGAGGGTTCCAGTTTACTGGGGTTAAAAGCTCCTTCACTCAAGAGGAGTTACTGACAGCTGTTGAGGCCCCTTGGGGGATGGGTGAGCAATCTTAACCCACGTTCCAATGAATGCGAGACCACAGAATATAACTGCTCACATTTTACACAGCTCTCAACAATCCTGATTGTTCAATGAATGGTCTGTGAGAAAAGCTGAGCGTTGGATAAGGAAGGCTGCTTGATTGGCCCTGCGTTCCAAGGCACTCAAGAGGCACCTCTGATATTGACAATTCTAATTAAGGTGGATTTCTTAATTAAGGAATATGAGTGCAAACTCAGCGCAGTTAACCTGAAGTACATTTTCACCATCCCACAGGATCTCTATTGTGTCAGAGTAGAGTTCCTGCAAGTCAGCCTTGCGTATCTCTGGTTTCCTTAAGAATATTAGACGCTGCTGACTGCAGAGCAGAAAATGTGCTTGTTCCTAGCCTGCTTCACCTTTCACGTGAGGTGAAAATCCCATCAGACTGTATATTTCATGACCATGAAGTTTTTAATTGAGGTTTGCTAAGGGACCTTCTTAGCAATGAGTTAAACTATATTTAAAAAGAAACCAGGCTTGAGACTTTTCATAACTACGTGTTTTTTTGGGGTCAGCTGGGTGTCTGATACATGCAGTAAGCCCATCACCATGCCCAAGAGTATCCAAAACAAACTGAGAATTCCATGCACCCATCTACACAAAGAAATTCCTGTCCAGCGGTGTGTGAAGGATGATTGCTCTCCACATAAAGGTTTTGTGGTTTCTTACCAATGCCAATCTATCTTTAGCAATCTCAGATACCTCAAATGGGAAGTGCCTGCATTTGCCTGTTCTTACCTTGGGGTCCATCGTGACATTGAATGTACTAACTCATCCTTAGCAAATTTGCTCCAAATAGTGCTCTTACCATCATTGCTCTCTTCCCTCATTTTTCTCCCATCCCATTCTGGAAAAGCAATATTGGTCCTGATATTTTATGTATTTGGAGGTAGATGGACTTTGAGTAGCAGCCTAGTTTTGAAAATTATACTGTATCTTGTTTCCACTTGAAAGGTTTAAACGTAGAAATTGTACATGACATGTTGCTGTTAATAAAGCCACGTGCAGTTTGTTGCTCAATGAGGTTACATTTTTTTAAAAACTAACATTCCTTTATAGTATTAATTTGTAAAGTGACTGTATAATGGTACTTGATGAAGATGCCACCAATTTTAAGCTGTGGTATAGAATCTGTTTCATACCTGGACTTTAACTAAGGATACAGAAAAGCTCCCAATGTGGATTCTAGGTGTGAAACTGGATATATATGATCGCAAGACCCATTTCAAATCTGCTGTTTATCCTTGCAACTCATTGTAGAAGCCTTAAAGTTGCCAATGTGTTTTTTTAATGTAAAAATTAAAGTGTATCCCAATTGCAAGTTTTCTTTTTTTTGGTGTGTGAACTTTCAAAGCTCAGGCCTGCTGTATGTCCATTATCCTGTCAGCCAGAGCTCAGGCAATATGTATCTGCTCAATGGAATTCACTAAAAATAACAAATTACATTTGTATAGCACTTTCCATGTTCAGAGGACGTCCCAAGGTGCTGAATCCCTCAAAACCCTATCTTCTACTTTTGGTTAAAATCCTCATACTTCATGTGAAAGTTCTATTCAGTCCAAGTAGTTGTAGACTGGTGCACTGGTACCCATGTGCAATGTACTGACTAGTGTTACTATAACCTTGAGTGCTTTGACTTGCTGCCCTGCATGAAGGATGCTATATAATAATCATTGCATTTAATAGAGCCTTTTCACACCATTGAGATGTCTCAAAATGTTGCACAGAAATTGTATAAATTATAAATTCAATTGACTATATTTTGTGGTGAAACACAGCAGCCAACTGCACACAGCAGTGTCCCACCATCCTGGAATGAGTGACCACATTATTTTTTGAAGAATTATTACACCCATAAAGTGTTAGCTAATTAACTAACCAAGTTCCTACTTAACGCTTGATAAACCAAGGCATGCAGAGTAAGGAAACATGCCCACGGTTTCACCCCGCCTGGGAGTTGCTTGAGATGTATAAAAGTTGTTGTAATTGGGGTTATGAGTTCAGGTTTATATATCAAATTGTAGCAGTGTAACTGCAAGAAATATAGGGGTAAAAATTGTGACCTGCGATGTTCACTTAACACTGGTGATAATTATATCACAGAAAGTGCCACCTTGTTGCTGTCTGGCCTGAATATTGCAATGTTTGGGCCTAAAATGTGTTTCAGCAGCCATTGGATTTATTGTCCCATGAAAACAGCACTGCCTTAGCTCAGCAACAAAACTGGTTGGAGCTAATCCAGCAACCCATGAGTCAGCTGGTCAAATGCTGGCTTCAGCCCTAACCCATTCCTGCAGTGGGGTGGGATCGAAGGGAGAGAATTACATCTGTAGTCACATTGACCAGGTGGACTATGTGATAACTGATAATTAGCACCAGTGGTAATTAATGCATCACACTGCAATTCTGATGTCGTGAAACAATTTATTATAAAGTAGGTAATCCTCATCAAGGTGTAGTGACTTTACTGCTGTATTCACTGGCAGAATTCTTCTGGGGGGAGAGGACGGACATTCAGCCCTTCAAGCATTGTTCTACAAGTTTATTAGAACCTTTAATCCATTACCTTTTCTCCCTTACCACCTTTATTTGGTTCATCACACAAACTTTTTCTTAAAAAAAATCTTAAATTCTGCTTTTACAACATTGAGGTGTAGTCCATTTTCACAACTCTCTTGTGTGAAGAAATGATTTCACAGTTAGCGAGTTACTACAACAACTTGAACTTACATAGCGCCCTCCACACAGAGTAGCGTCTCAGAGAGCTTAACTCCCCCTGGCTCGGCCTTGGGCTCCACCATTGTTAATTGCTTGTTGTTGTTGTTGTTAACAGTGGCAGAGCCTGACTCCAAGCCGGGGGGAGTGAGTTTTCACTGTATTGCAATCACTGCTGCATTCTCTCTCTCTCTTTCTGCAGTTACAACACACACATGAAGAATGGGCCATACCCATGAGGTGCCCCTGGACTGTGATCACCTCGGGACCATTCTACCTGCACTCCAAGTGAAGAGGATTAATCTGCAGAGGAAGAAGAAAGTAATGGCCATTTGGTCACAACAACCATTAAGTACTTAAAAATCTTTATTAAGTCATAGTTGGTAATTGTGTACAATAAGAAACTATTACAGAGATGAAACTCGAAAGTTACAAACTACTTGGGCAGTCATCGCGCACAAAAAAGATCAAACTAAAGTGAACATGTTTCTCATTTGTTCTCAACATGAACAGAATATGTATCACTGAAGGCTGCACAGGTGATTCCAAGGTCGGGTGACTGACGCCATCCATGCTCTACCATTTCGAGTGTAATTATAAGCTGTCAGCAGTGAGACCCTCAGTGATCAGTCAGGATATGACACTGAAGATGGTTATTACAATAATCCACCCTGCTGTGAGCCGATGTCTGAGGTGTATTATGGGATGAAACAATGGGACCATTCAGAAATACCCATCGTGTCTTGAGAAGTCACTATTAGGAGTCTCTCACCTCTTTTATACTTCACTCGATCTTTCACACTTTCCAACAGCTCCAAAGCAACAGGAGTGATCAAACAATGGGCAACAAGACCACTTGTAGGAACCTCAACAGGGCCCTTTGTTGACTTCAATGGTTGGATACCAAAGAAGAGTAGCTGAGAATGGGAACACTACACATTTACAGAATCGTCTCCTGAAGACTTGTACTGTAGCACTCTCCAGACGAAACTAGTTTTAGATTTAGTCTCCGACGGAAGGACGAGGCACAGATTAAATAAAGCCAGTCAAAGTTACGGCATAAAACGACAGCTACTTCCATAATAAATGCAAGGATTATTAACTCAAATTTACAATTATGCCCAAGGTTAGTTTTAATATATCAAATTGTATAATTTCTCCCAAGGTTAGTTTTGATTCTTTCAAATAATCTGCGTACAACAGTGCATACAGTCAACAAATGGAAATATTATACACAAAAAAAGCCATGCAGAAATCCTCTCCTGTAGTGAAGTAAGGCCACGCAAAGCACTTTTACAATCTCTGTAAGTGTCAAATGTGCATTGGTAGTGTTAAATGGTGAATGTGTAAGGTATATCTCTAATAATAATCCTTGCATTTGATATAGCGCTTTTCACGTCGGGAGGACGTCCCAAAGCGATTCACAGAATATACTGTAAAGTGAATTGACTGTATATTTGTGGGCGAACACGGCAGCCAATTGCGCACAGCAATGTCCCACAAACAGTCGTAAATTGAAAATGACCAATTTATTATTGTTTTGTTTTTTGGAGGGATTATTATTAGGCGTGTGGAGTGAGGAAACTTGCCCAAGGTTTCGCCCTCTGCCTGGAATTGAACTCAGGTCTCTCACTTGCAAAGCGAGTGCTCTAACCACTGAGCTACAGGACTCTGTCGCAATCATGAACTTGTTTACATCAGAATGGGATACCAGGGGTCCAGCTTCAATTCCTGTTCAGGTGTATTTGTCACCAATAGTTATAACTAAAGTATCAAAATGAATTATGTTGAACCACAATCTGGTCAGATGGCTGGAGATATGAGATTTCATATGAAAGGCGATGAGTAACATTGAACACAAGTGTAATTTTCCAGCAAACTCCATTTTCATCTGTACAAGTTCATTGACATTTACACTTGACAAAAGACAGTATTTACTTTAGAATAAAAAGCATACCAGATATAAGAACCGAAAGAGATGGGGGGGCGAGGTTGGGGAAGGTAGAGAGAAACTGCCAAGTGCAAAATACCTTTCTGAAATAAAGCCAAGAATACTTTACAGTGGTGTTGATTAACTCCGAAGAGCAGCTAGACGGGATTGCATCTCCTCGATGTCTTCCTCCCCCTCGCTCTCGTCCAGGACAGCCATAGCCCCTGCAGCTTCGGGCTCTGGGAGAGCGTCTGTGACCTTCTGGGGTGCTTTACCCAGAGCACCTGCAAGAGCACAGTGGTGTTAAGACAAGCTTGAAGGTGCAGTTTGGAAGGCATTGTTAAATTTAAGTGCAAAAGTTTGCATTACAACAACACAAATTACATTTATAGAGTGCATTTCATGTCAGGAGTGCCAAGGTGTTGGACAGTCAGGGATTTGGACCAGAGCTGGGGGTTGGGATCAGGAGGGGTGGAGGGCAGGGAATGTGGGGGTAGGTTGACCAAAGGCGTGGTCAAAGAGGAGGGTCTTGAGACAGGCCTTGAAGGAGGCAAAGGAGGGGCAAAACGAAGGAACTGTGGGATGGAGTTCGAAAGGCTGAAGGCTTGCACGCTGATGGTGGAGCGGGCCGGAGCCCACTGAGGAGAGGGTGTAGACAAGTCTGTAAGGAGTTAGCAGGTCACCGAGATAAGGAGGAGTAAGGCCCTTCATATTTTTATATATTTTTTTAACAATCTCTATAATGGTTTCCGTGAGTGAAGAGAGGGCAGAGATTGTAAGCAACTGTTCTCTTTCCCTTCCTCATCCCAAAAAGTGTCTCCTGGAAAGAGAACTCTATAACACAAGCTTAATTTATTGTGGTGGCTGGAGGGGACCGAATGACATAATAATAATCCTTACATTTGACTCCCTCCACAAGCTGCAGGTCATTCAGAACTCTGCAGCTCGTGTACTGTCCCGTACTTACCTGCCCGTACCCTCCGTTCCTCTGGCTCCGGTCTGCTCCACATCCCCCGCCCCAACCGCCCTACCATCGGTGGCCGGGCCTTCAGCCTCTCAGCCCCCAGGCTCTGGAACTCCATCCCCCAGTGCCTTCGCTGCTTCCTCCCTTTCCTCCTTCAAGGCCGGTCTCAAGACCTTTCTCTTTGACTGTGCCTTCAGCTCCCCTCTCGACTCTCTACCCCCTCCTCGCTCCCTCCCTTCCCTCCCCTCACCATTTCCCCACTGCTCGGGTCCTGACCCAACTGTACAGTGCCTTGGGACGTCCTCCCGACGTGAAAGGCGCTCTATAAATGGAATCTTGTTGTTGTTGTTGTTGATGTTGATGTAGCGCCTTTCACATTATGATGTCTCAAAGTACTTCACAGCATTCACTGTCAAGTGCAGCGACTGTGTGTTTTTGTAGGTGAACGAGGAAGCCAATTTTTGTGTACAATAACGTCCTACAAACAGCCATGAATTTTATTTGGGGGATTGTTGGCCAGGACACTGGGAGAAATTCTCCTTTAGTAGATTTATAACATTAATCAAGAAATATTATTTTCTAATTTATATCCTGTGTCTTTATCAGCATAAATATTAATTTATGCCGATAAAGACATAGATCTTAACAGCCACCTGAACACACAAACAGAATGTCAGATTAATGTCTCATCTGAAGGAAAGTACCTTTGACAATGCAGCAGCAACAACAACTTGAATTTATAGAGCATCCCTCACGCAGGGTAGGTCCCAGAGCACTTGAACTCACATAGGCTGAGGCTGATACAGCAGCACACCTCGACTACTGTTCTGCTGTATCAGCCTCAGCCTGTGTAAGTTCAAATTCCTGGCAGGGGCTTCAACAACAACATATTGCATTTACATAGCACCTTTCACATCGGGCGAAGGCACTGGACAGTGAAGGGTTTCAACCTGATCTGGGTGTTGGAATCAACAGGGGTAAGAAAGGGGGTGAGGTGATGGAGTACCAGAAAGTGCGGGGCTGAAGGCCCCACTGCAGATGGTGGAGCAGGCAGGGCAGGGGTTGTGGAGCAGGCCAGTGCCTGCTGAAAGGAGGGGGCAGACAGATTGGTGATATTTTAGGTTACAGAAGTAGGGAGGAAGAAGTCCGTGAAAGGCTTTAAATGCGAGGATGAGGAACTTGAACTCGATGCTCTGGGAAATTGGGAGCCAGTGAAGCTGGGGGAGGATGGGGGTGATACGAGCTACAGCGTTCTGAATAATCTGCAGCTTGCAGAGGGCAGAGTTGGGTAGTCTGGTGAGGAGGGAGTTAGCAGAGTCAAGCCTGGATGTAATGAAAGCATGGATCTGACATATCGTGGGTGGAAGGGACTGAATGACAAACTTGTGCAATAAATTTAGAAAGATAATTTGCAACAAATTAATGACATCAATTTACCTGCAGTAACTTCAAACAGGATCCTGTCAATTTCCATTTCTGCTGCTTCTTCCATTTCGTCTTCATCTTCCATGCTTTCAAATGTGTCTTCAAGCATCTCCTCAATAATCCCTGCCTGCAGAGACATACCATGCCCATAATAAGGAGGTTATTACTTCACACGCCACTGTTCGATAACAAGGAGACACACTCAGGATTGTTTCAAGAAGCATTAAGGCGAAGATTGTAAAACCCTTTTTTGGCAAGGGTTATTAGAAACTGGAAAGCTTTGTCTGGAAGCTTTCTGGAAATGGCTATCAAAGTTAAGATTTATATAAATATAATAGAGAATTAGACAAATGTTTGAAAAGCAACAATACACAAAGCTTTGGGGAAGATCAGGGAATTGGGATTGCAGTGGATAGCTCCCTTGGGGTAGCTGATATCAGCAATAATAATAATAATCCTTGTATATGATACAGGGCCTTATCATATCCTTTAATCCTGAGACTATGACCGCTAGTTTTAGATACTCCAACCAGGAGAAACGGTCTCACACTATTTACCCTGTCAAGACCCTTAAGAATCTGATAGGTTTCTATAAGATCACCTCTAATTCTTCTATATTCTAGAGAAAATAGGCCTAGTCTACTCAACCTCTCCTCGAAGGTCAACCCCCTCATCCCAGGAACCAGCCTAGTGAACCTATGTTGCACCCCCTCTAAGGCAAGTATATTCTTTCTTAAGATAAGGAGACCAAAACTGCACACAATATTCCAGGTGCTGTCTCACCAGGGCCCTATACAATTGCAGCAAGACTCCCCTACTCTTGTACTTTAACCCCTTTACAATAAACGCTAACATGCTATTAGCCTTCCTAGTTGCTTGCTAACTTTCTAACCTCTAACCATTCCTAACCTGATAGTTACCCAGATTTAATAGATTATTAAGCAAAGCAACAAGCGACATTCAGCTTTTGCTAAAAGAATCGCTCACAGGTCTTCTGCTTTGGTGATCCGAATTTCTAGACTATATTCATTTAGTGGGGGAAAACAGTGAAATGGGTCTCCTTGGAAACTGTGCACGCAATTGGCAGTTACATTTCACCCACAAAATATACAATCAATTCACTTTACAGTCTATTCTGTAAGGCCCTTTGAGACGTCTCAACAGCATGATAAGGATTATTATTATTATTATTAAATTAAATGCAAAGCTGTTGTTACAATGAGGACAGAAGTGACCAAAAAGCATTTCTGGAAATATTACTGTTTCCCAACTTGAGAGTCTGTGGCTGGATTTCAATCTCACCTTCATCATTTCCTTAGACAGATCCCTCATGGTAGCTTGAACTTCAGGGATTTTTACCAAGCTCTGCATGGCTTTCATCACCTCTGTGCTCTTCTGTAAGGAACCAGATACCTTCAGTAAAGCTGGGAAAAGAGAAAAAAAAATTACAAAATAGTACATTACCATCAGACTCAGTACCAAAGAAATTTACAGCACAGAAGTCAATTCAGGTCATTGTGTCTCTTTTGAAGAGCGATCGTTTCAGTCCCATTTACCTGCCCTTTCCCTTTACCCCTGTAGTTTGCTGTTTTAGATATCTATCTAGTTCCCCTTGAAAGCTAATATGATAGATACTCAGATACTAGAAGCTGATGTCCACATTTACAAACTGAGGTGGCCTCACTAAATCTTCAGGCCCGATTGGGCCCCAATTAAGATTTAGTTAGGCCAGTACCCCTCGATCGACTCAGAAAGATGCTTCGTGGTTTGAAAATGATCCCCTGCTACAGTGGGAATATGTTGGCTCATGGGGATGTTCATCCACACCTGTGGGCTACCATTATTTAGAAGATGGAGGTGGGGAAGGAAGAGGAGGGGTATTCCAAAACACATTTTAACCACCTAGCTTAAGCAAGGAACGTAACACGCTTAGGAACACCCCAAAAAGTAAACATCAGATAAATGATACCCAAACAACAGTCTATAAAGCTTTATAGAGCAAATGAACCAAAGAGGCTCCCTCATCTGAATCTCTTGTGAAAGGCTTTGAAATCGGCTGACCCTGAGGCTACGCTGGGCTGACAATCATCAGTTTAACAGTGAAGATGCCACGTAATGGCATGAACTAACTGCAGGACTTACAGAGCTGGTTCTTCATGCTCATAATGATGGAGTTCATCTGCGCTTTTGATGCAAATAGCTTGTTCACAGCCTTCCTTGACCGCACAATCTCTTTGGCAAGTATAACACACACGTCCCTTTGTCCCTTTTTTGCAGCATCTTTCACAGACCTCTTGACTTTCTCCTCTTCCCTCTGAATATCTGAGAACAATGAGGTGCGGGATGGAGAGGAGGGTAGGAGACACAAGTGTTAAAATATATCTGTACCTGATGTTTTCAGAGTCTTCACTAAAAAAAGCACTTTGACCAAACCATGATAAGCTGTTTTATCTTGTCCAGAACAGTAGAACCGGAAGACATGACCTGCGATTGAAGGGGGTTAAATTCAAAACAAATCTGCGGAAACACTATTTCAGTGAGAGTGATAAATCTATGGAACAGGCTCCCTAAGGAGACGGTAGAAGCAGATAATGTCAATTCATTCAAATGTAAATTAATTTCTTTTTGAAAATATTATTTTGGGATACAGTATAAGAGTAATTTGAGACACGACATATAGTAAGTGTAGTATGGCTTGGAAGAACCAGGTAACTTTGGATCTAAGGTTCCCAAAGTTTTCCACTGTGATGGGAGATGGATCCATACAGAATAAATTACTATCAACATCTCCAATATTGTAGCAAGCGACTACCAGGATGGTAGAAGGCGGAGTAGATGGCGTTAGTCCTTTTTTGGCTAGTAATTCCTGTTTACCTAGCAGTAAGTAGAAACCTGGTTGTTTTTTGGCGGATCGCTTTTGCAGGGGTAGTAACTCCTTCAAAATAAATAAACATAATTTGGTCCAGGTCTCAGCCAGGAGTGCACCCAAGAAACACTCAGATAGAGCCCGTTTTAATGTCTCCTGTAAAGGACGGCACCAACGACAATGTTTCGCTCCACTAGTCATGCTCCATCCGTCTGGTTTATGAGCATGCTCTGCAGGCAGACAGGGCTTTGGTTTAATGTTCAGATGGACATTAAGGGTCTTAATATCGTGGAGTCCTGTAGCTCAGTGGTTAGAGCACTTGCTTTGCAAGCGAGAGACCTGGGTTCGATTCCTGGCAGGGTGAAACCTTGGGCAAGTTTCCTTACTCCACACCCCTGATAATAATCCCTCAAGGAAATAAAATAATAATAAATTGGTCACTTCAATCCACAACTGTTTGTGGGACACTGCTGTGCGCAATTGGCTGCCGCATTTCGCCCACAAATATATAGTCAATTCACTTTACAGTCTATTCTGTGAAGCGCTTTGAGACGTCTAGAAGACGTGAAAAGCGCTATATCAAATGCAAGGATTATTATTATTGTTATTAATATACAATTTAAAAACTAGGTCCTAGCCAAAAATCTCCCAAATAAAATTGGTGCACTGTGCGCAAATTGGCTGCTACATTCGCCTATAAATACACAGTTATTACACTTTACAGTGAATCCAATGAAGCGATTTGAGCAGTCCTCCTGAAATTAAAAAGCGCTATATCTAACACAAGAATGATTATTACAGTCCACCGTTTCAACATAAACACTCAATCTAGGTACGCATGTTAAAATTAGAAACTTTTGTTTACCTCGGATTTGTCTGTCCATCAACCTCATTTCCTTTCTCATTTTCCCTGTCCATTCGGTCACCTGATAAAAGCCAAATTGAACTGTATTAAACAAAAGTCAATCTGCTGCCCTCAGATAAAGATCTTGTGACACTACTTGAATAGTGAAAGGAGTGTCTCCCAGTGTCCAGGTCAACTGCTGGCTATTTTTATCCATTTAGATTAAATGAGATATTTCCTTCAGGGCTATTTTGGGGATCTTGCTGGCGATTACATTCTTGGTAATTCTATTTAATGGTCACACCTTGGCAAAACCGATCCAAAAACACAGAGAAGAAACAAACACTGGTCAATCAGTTGACATTGTAGATTTGCTTCTGCAGTGAATTACTATGTTTATGTTATAAGGATAGTCACTGGACGTGAGAAGCTTAATGCGCGACCTGCAGATGAATTCAATATATTAGGTAAACAGTAACAGAATATTACCTCATTCCTTCAAAATGGAATTAGATAGGTGTTGAAAGAGGAGGAATATTAAATAGTACAGAGAGCAAGCAGGAGAGTTGAATTAGGTGGCTTATGGTGAAAAAACACTAGTGCAGACTTGACATGTCAAACAACCTGTAGCATTCCATAATTCTAAGGATCCTCAAGAGTTTCAGTTAACAGTTTACACCATAGAATGGATTCCACAACACCACATTACATAGTCATGTTTGGGATTGCAATGCTGATCCCTACAGATCACCTCAGCCTGTGACCCAAAAATAAAGGTGTGGGCAGCACCACCAAGATAAAGCACCAGGAAGTATCTTTTTTCAAGCAATTTCTGAAGGCAAAAGAAAACCACACCTTAAGGTAGGTCTCCACTCCTGAGAATGCAGCAGTGCTATGTTATTTACTCTGCAGTGCTCTCGTTATACTGCACGGAAGCACAGAGTACAAGCACGTAAAAGACAAATAGAACGAACCACAGTTTATCCAAACAGATCAGGAAACACCCCTTTATAGAGAAGTCCAAAATTGCCCACTCTACAGATAGGTGTAATTCACATGGGCAAACTCTTTGGCCTATTAAATATTAGTTTTAGAAATGCTGTACAAGACAATAATTAGGGTTAGGTTTAAAGATCACTGCTGTCCATCTGACCAGCCTCCCTCCACACAGGACCTTATCAGGTCAATAAGATGTCTCAAAGCGCAAAAATATACTTGAATATCCTTTTACAATATAATAGACCCAACATTGATGGTGAATTTGGTTTCAAAGAGTTGATGTAAGACATTAAATCTGTAATGTCCATGAAGTCCTGTAGCTCAGTGGTTAGAGCACTCGCCTCGCAAGTGAGAGACCTGGGTTTGATTCCCGGCAGGGCGAAACCTTGGGCAAGTTTCCTTACTCCACACGCCTAATAATAATCCCTCAAGAAAAAACAAAACAATAATAAAGTTGGTCTCTCACTCCACGACTGTTTGTGGGACACTGCTGTGTGCAATTGGCTGCTGCATTTCAGCCAAAAAACGTACAGTCAATTCACTTTACAGTATATTCTGTGAAGCGCTTTGAGCCGTGTAGAAGACGTGATAAGGGGCTGTATCAAGTGCATGCATTATTATATTTATTATTATTAAATCAACAACAACAGCATTCCATTTATAGAGCGCCTTTCACGTCGGGAGGACGTCCCAACTCGAGGTCTCGTCTGCCTGATCGGGTGGGCGTTGGATCCCAAAGCACTGTTTGAAAAGGGAAGAGAGTCTCTTCCTGGCGTCCTGGCCAACAATCCCCCAAATAAAACTGGTCAGTCGCTCCATGACTGTTTGTGGGACATTGCTGTGTGCAAACTGGCTGCACCTTTCGCTCACAAAATACAGTCACTACACTTTACAGTGTATCCTGTGGAGCGCGTTGACGACGTGATAAGGCCCTATTACCAGATGTAAGGACTATTATATGACATTATTACACAGCACCAGTCTGTCATCTCAACCAATCTTGCTCTCGCCTTCGAACGCGTCTTCCTGAGCGACAGGAGAAGCAGCCAATTGGAGGAGTCACTGAGGGGTCGGGCGAGCCAATCAAGACAAGGTACATGGAGGGGAGGCAGGATATCCGGTGATCAAGTTCGGCTGCACCCGATCAGTCATACGGAAGTAGTATTTCCCTCCGCGCTGCCCGGGAGCCGCGGAGCAAAGTCCCTCAAACCGGCGGCTCAAACCCGTTTTAGAAGTGTATTTTTTTTACATATACATAAATAAAACGTTGCGCCGCGCCGCCGCCGCCGCCATCAGGAAAATGACACAAAAATAACATAAACCCGCGAGACTCTGTCGGGAGGACGCGTGGCGTGGCGTGGTGTGAGGGGCGGGCAGGGTGTGGTGTGAGGTGGGGGGCAGTAAGCGGGTGGTTACCAGCTCCTTGGGCGGCCTCTCCTGGGTTTTCCCGAACAGCCCCATGACGGCGGCGGCGGCTCTCGGCCTCGCTCTGGCCGCTCCGTCCCTCGCGCCTGCGCACACGAGCTCAGCAGCCGCCGCCGCCCACCGCGCATGCGCCGTGCTGTGCTGTGCTGTGGGAGCGGACAGCGCGGAGCGGCACATCCTCCCAATGATATCCTAATACGACATCCGTGTCGCACAGCGCCCACTGGAGGGCGTCCCCAGGCGCGCCCTCCGCTGGACATCAGGGATTTGTACCCTGGGGGTTGGGATCGGGGAGGGCGGCCGAAGGCTCGGTGGACGAGAAGGGCTTTGAGACGTGCCGTGAAGGAGGCGAGGGAGGGGGCGAGGGGACGGGGCTGTGGGATGGAGGGCCATAGGGTGGGGGCAGAGGGGCTGAATCACGTTAATCAGCCTGAGCAGCGGAGGGGGCCGACGGGTCACAGCGGTGGGGTGGGGAGGGCAAGGCCATGGAGGGCTTTGAAGGCGAGGACGAGGATTTTGAACTCTATCCTCTGGGGAATAAATAATAATCCTTGCATTTGATATAGCGCTGTTCACGTCGGGAGGACGTCCCAAAGCGCTTCACAGAATATACAGTAAAGTGAATTGACTGTATATTTGTGGGCGAACGCGGCAGCCAATTGCGCACAGCAATGTCCCACAAACAGTCGTAGATTGAAAATGACCAATTTATTATTGTTTTTGGTTTTGGAGGGATTATTATTAGGCTCTGTGTGGAGTAAGGAAACTTGCCCAAGGTTTCGCCCTCTGCCTGGAATTGAACTCAGGTCTCCCACTTGCAAAGCGAGTGCTCTAACCACTGAGCTACAGGACTACAAGGATGGGAAGCCAGTGGAGCCGGGCCAGGGTGGGGAATGATGGGGTCACGGAGCCTGGTGCGGGAGAAGACATGAGCTGAAGGGTTCTGGTGATCTGCAGCCTGTGGAGGGAAGAGTTGGGAAGGCCGACAAGCAGGGTGTTGGCGTAGTTGAGCCTAGATATAAGCACGTGGATGAGGGTTTTGACGGGCTGAGGCAGTGGTGGAGCCGGGCAATGTTAGTGGAAATCTAGAACGGTCTCCCCTAAAAGGCTGTGGTTGCTGGATACATTCAAATTTTCAAGACTGAGGTGGATAGACTTTTCTTGGATCAGGGTATCAAGAGATATGAGGCAAAGGTCATGGCATGGATGTGAGGGAGAAAGGACAGTTGACGAGACACCTAGGTTATTGACTGGATCAGTGAGGTGGAATGTGCATCCATGGATGGTGGTCCTGAAGTGTAATAATTATAATAATCCTTGCATTTGATATAGCACCTGATCATGTCATTCAGATATCTCAAAAGCACTTCACAGAATATACTGCAAAGTGTAGTGACTGTATATTTTAAGGGCAAAATACAGCAACAACAACTTGCATTTGTATAGCACCTTCCACACCGGGCGGAATCCCAGAGCATCAGTCGGTGGCCCACAGCAGCCAATTGCTCACAGCTTTTATTTTAGTGTAAGAATTTATTTGCAGATGACACCAGGTTTGGGGGAGGTGTGATCGGGCAGGGAGAATGTGGAATCAGAGGAAACAGAATTTGTGATTCTATGCTCCCTTTCATGTTCTCGTTAAAGGGAACATCATAGAATCACAAATTCTGCCCCCACCCCAACCTCCACCCAGATTCAGTCTGGCTCACTCAGTTTGGTTGTGCTCCGGGACCACTATCCTGCGTGAAGAGTGCTAAATAATCAAGAACAACTTGCATTTATGTAGTACCCTTCGGGGGGTGGGGGTCTTAGAACACTTAGAAGTGGCAGAGCCTGACTCCGAGCCGGGGGACTGAAAGGTGTGATCTGAAAATGGAGCTGGATACAAGCTGTCTTGGTTCACCCCTGAGTCAGGGAACAGTGTCTTTGGGTTGGACACTGAGCAAAGTTGGAGGAGGGGAGGTTACATAGCTGTGGTTGCAGTGGTAGGTTTTAGGGTGGGACTTAAAGAGGGGTGAGGCAGACCGATTGAGGGAGGGAGCTCCAAAGGTTAGGGATTTGGTGTTTGAAGGCACGGTCACCAATGGTGGTATGGGCATTGTAAAGGGTGTTACAACTGATCCTAACCTGTCCTACCCCTGCAACCACAGATATATACACAACCAGTGAGGGTGCTTAGGAGAAAGAACCTTAATTGGTTTTCCCCCCTCCCTATCCCTCTGAGAACTTCAGAGTCAATTAGCCTCCTGGCTGTGATCAGCAAACTCGTTCTCAAATAAGGGAACTCCTGGTACACAAGTCCTTAATTTTAGTGCATGAAAGTACCACCCAATTGTGGAAGAACCTCAGTGTATGCATTTGTACGTATGTGTCTACAATATACTATTAAGTACCTAGAATTACCTAGAACATTGCAGCACAGAAACAGAGCATTTGGTCCAAATAGTCCCAACTACTATGAACTAGTGTTTATATTCCACACAAGTCTCCACCCCTCCTAATCTTCATTAGTTATTCTCCCTCATGTATGCATCACAATTTGTACAATAATAAATACTTGCATTTTTCAGATGACACCATATTGGGGGGGTGGAATCCAAGGAAACAGCAAAGATCCTACAAAGACAGCTTGTTACAGTATGCTCATTGGCTGGAAAC